GGATTTGAGTATAGATTTGAATGTAGATTTGAGTATAGATTTGAGTATAGATTTGAGTATAGATTTGAGTATAGATTTGAGTATAGATTTGAGTATAGATTTGAGTATAGATGTGAATGTAGATGTGAATGTAGATGTGAATGTAGATGTGAATGTAGATGTGAATGTAGATGTGAATGTAGATGTGGATGTGGATGTGGATATGCGGCTTCTCTCTCTCTCTCTCCCCCACTTTCAGTGTGTGTGGAATAGGGATGGAAATGGAAGGGAATAGAGGGATGGGGGATGGAAGGATGGAGGGATGGAGGGATGGAGCGATGATTAGAATCTTGTGAGTGTAGTATTGTAGAGGGATGAGGGAGTGAGGGAGTGGTGGAGTGAAGAGTGGTATTGTAGAGAGATGAGGGAGTGAGGGGGTGAGAGAATAAGAGAGTGAAAGAATAAGAGAGTAAAAGTATACTTGAATATACTTGAATATACTTAAATATGAATATTTATATAACAAATGAATAATATTAGTTTAAATGTTTTTATATGATTGAATTCAGTATTGTTTATATGTATGTATATATGTATGTGTATATAAGGGAAATATAAATGTGAATGTGAATGTGAATTTGAGAGGGAGAGGAATGAATATTGATATATTGATGTGTTTTTGGTGGGGATGTATAATATTTAGATGGTGTTTGGAGATTGTTTGGGTTAGTAAATGAATAAAGAGATGGAGAGATGAGGAGATGGGGAGATGGAGAGATAGACGGATGATAAAGATTTTTATTTCGGATAGGAAACGCAGAAGGATGGGATGGTGGAATAGGATGAGGCTGTGTTATGATATTCTTGGGGTGTAGGATGATTTATTAGTTATGGATTTTTCTGATTGACTGATCATTTAGTGGGCTGGTTGATTGAGAAACTGGGAATTTGGAATGGAATGGGAGGATTATGAGGAGGTTGATGGTTGATGAGAGAGGGGGAGAAAAGAGGGAAATATAAATGGGTGGATGGATGGATGTACTGGAATACTTGATATGCGATGGTATATGGTATTTACTAGGGAACTTGTGGTTGGAATTATGTTATATTGTATAATGTAGAGTAATCTCTACGAAAGAAGGGAAAGAGAGGAGGAGAAAAAGGGGGAGAAAAGAGGAGAGGAGAAAGGAGGGAAAGAGTTTAAATATAGGTGAGGTTGTTGGATAATGTGATATTATGAGAAGATGAACAAATGAAGTCATCGAGAGAGATGTAAAGAATCTTTTATCTTGGATAGATATATAAATCAAATTTGTTATCTGTAGGATTTAAAGTTTATGTCACTTTGTTACTTTTTGAAATTTGAATGGGTGGGATTGAGATTATGTATGCAGATGTAGATGTAGATATAATGAGCTAGCTATTTAGATTGAAATGGTTTGGAAATAAACAATAGGTGATGAGCGATGAAATGGAATTGTATGTGTTTATTATATGTATATATATAGAAAGTAATCTAATTCTAAATTCAAAAAATATAGAAGATATTACATGTTAACAAAATAAGTTTATACTTACTATATTTTTATGTAGGAATTTTCTATAACTTATATAAAAAAAAAGAGCGGGAGAAAAATGAGTTAGAAAAATGAGCCCGTTCCTACATTAAAATATAGCTACTCTATATTTACCTATCTTGGAAATTCTACAATTTTATGAGAGTGTTGATATAGTTAAAAGAGGACGGTGTTGATACTATTTGGATTTATATATGAGTATGTGTATGAGTATATTAAGTAAAAGTTGAAATTGTAAATTGTAAGGTCGGGTGAGGTGAGGTAAGAGGTGAGTTTATGCTTAGGCTTAATGAGACTTAGAGAAGCTGGAGTACGTTGGCTCTGGATTTCTTGTCTGTTTAACTTTATGTTTATAGATGAAGAGAGGGGATGAGAGGGGGGAGTTGATAATTTACTACTTATATTACGTTGAAAAAAATCTAGAGTAATAAATTATTTAAATACTGTTTACTGAGTATGTAGATAGGTACGTATTCACTGACTATATATACCGATTAAAAATTCATCGAATTAGACATTCGAAGATTCGAAAGGAATTTCTACAATTGTATTTGGAATTCGAATCTCCTCTGTGAGATGTATATAAAGAGGTAAATATGAATCTGGAGACTCGTTGATGAATAGAATTTAATGCTGTATATACTATATTAAAGCTATAGTAATGAGCGATAGTAAAGCTATTTCTTCAATAATACAAATGTGAGTGAGATATAATCTTATCTATAACCATTTCATCCACAGATCCTCAGATCCAAAGATTCAAACTCCCATTTACAAAAACAACCCAAAATCCAAATTCTCCCATCAATTGTTAAAGATACTCATTACTGAGCCGTGTAGGTACCCAAATTTCCCCTATCCCGCTCGCTTACCAACCACACCAAAACAGACCCCTCCCACGTCTCCACCCATTACCCGAAAAAAAAAAGGAAAGAACTTCTCCACTATCTCTTGCAGAAATTTTAGTTTTTGCAATCTTGGGTTATATTATGAAAGTTTGACATCTGTGTATATAAGAAAGGCCTGATAGTTCAGTGGTAGAATTCTTGCTTTGGGTTCAATGAATTCAAATTGTAAGAGGTCTCCGGTTCGAAACCGGATTAGGCCCGTAGAGATCACTTTTTTGCTTTTTGTGGGTGGGTGATTGGGGATGGGGGCTGGAGAGGGTTTTTGTTCTTTTGGTCAGTGAAGGAGGGGGTGTAGCTAGGGTAGGTAAATAATTATGAGATGATGAATTGGGAGAGGGGGGCAGAATTTCTTATTCGAATTATTTTGTTGTATCTGCAAGTAATTCTTTATTGATGCAACAATATATATAGTATATAACTCTGAGCTTGAAGGCTCAATACATGATACCTTCGTTTTATAATCATGCCTCATGAATACCATAACTCAATAATTCATACTCATCTAATATCTATCTATACACAATTAAATCTCCATTTATCACCTCACCTCACCTCCTGATCCCAAATTCCATTCTCCTCTTTCCAAAAACTCCATTCCCAACCCTTAAACACTCATCTTCATATCAATCTTCCCATGTGGTTTATAACCTCTAACCTCAAATTCCTCTGGCTTCCATCCATCTACAACTCCACTACCTTGATCCTCCCTCAAAATGCCTAATTCAGGAAATTCTCTGGGTTCTCGCTCAAGTTGTACTTTTAATGCATCGACATGATCAACATAAACATGTGCATCTCCCATTGTGTGTGTAAATGTACCGGGTGTAAGATCGCATGCATGAGCAAGTATATGTGTTAAAAGAGCGTAAGAAGCGATGTTAAACGGAACACCAAGTCCCATATCACAGGAACGTTGGTAGAGCTGGCAATGAAGAATGCCTTTAGGTTTCGATTCTGGGGTTGAGGGGTTTGTATTCGGTTCGGAAGTTGAAGATGTTGTAGAACTTTTCGGGAAGGAAACATAAAATTGCGCAAACATATGACAAGGTGGTAATGCCATCAACTTTATATCTGCCACATTCCATGCACTCAAAATGATTCTCCTATCCCATGGATTATTCTTGAGCTTCCATACAATTTCTGCTAATTGATCAACACCTTGTCCTGTATAATCTGTCTCGGCATCAATATATTTAGCGCCGAAATGACGCCATTGAAATCCATAGACGGGACCCAAGTCTCCTTCGGCACGGTGAGAAAGACCAATGGAGTCAAGGTATGCACGGGATCCATTGCCATCCCAAATTTTTATTCCGGCAGCGGAGAGGGGTAGAGAAGAAGTGAAACCGGATATGAACCAGAGGAGTTCGGTTAGGACGGCGCGGAGGAATACGCGTTTTGTTGTGAGGAGAGGAAGAATGGGGGCTCCTGTAGGGGATGTGAGGGAGAACTTCAAAGGTGCGGGGGCGAAGAGGGAGATGGTGCCAGTTCCTGTTCTATTTGGTTATTTCGTCAATTATGTGTCTTCTGAGAGTTATAATGAGTGTGAGAAGTAAAAATTAGAACTTACCGGTCAGGACGATGTTCGCCGGTCTCTAAAATCTCGCGGATCAAGTCTAGATATTGATATTCTTCATGTTTCTTGGGAGTAGAAGTTGAATTTGGAGATGGATTTGGTTCTGTAGATTCCTTTGTAGTAGGAACTTCGCGAGGAAGAGTAGAGAGTTCTTCTTCAAGTGATGGTGACATCTTGATTCTTACTAAGTTGGGAGAATTCGATAATTGATGCGAAGAATTTGTATTGTTGTTCCAAAAAGTTGTGTGAAATTAAAGTGAAATGGAAAATAGTGGTGAGACGCGTTTGGACGCGTAAAGTGGTATTTCGGCGCTAGAGGTGAAAATCATGCCTGAGGCCAGAAAGATTTCATTTCATGGGCTGACGATCATCACCACCTGGGCATCGAGGTCCATTTCAAATTAAACAAGCCACATGCATTAATCTCTGTTATTTGCAAGAACAACCTTGGAAAGGTTGCAAATCCGCAATCATTGTCAATTCTCAATTCAACCCTTTCTAACAATCATTAAGGCTGCTCTACTATTGTCACATGATCCAGTTGCCGCCATGATCATTTTGATTAATGTCCAAAAGTCCAATCGCTAGTTTCGGCTTGATTAGTAATCATTCCATATACCGAAAAGTCAATTCAAAGTCCGTTCATTTTACAACCTCATTGTTGTGCAAGCAGAAATGTGGGTAACTTCACGGTGCGGAGCAACTTTGTTGCCGAATTACCAATATGGTAATTTGTGTACAGTTTAGAAGGGAGACAATGGAATTCAAGTTGAATCCGAGCAGTTGGTTAAAATCTTGAGAAATTATATAAATAAAGTAGTTCGTTAGATTTCTTCTCAAATCAATCAATCATCTCATAACATTCATCTTCCGTTTGCAGTCTATATATATCCAGGCAACACAAAGGCAGCTTCATTGAAATTTCAAACATCACATCTATCCGCATATTCATACAACAAAATGGCCCCCAAAACAGTTTTGATCACTGGCTGCAGTGAGGGTGGTATTGGAGATGCTCTTGCAAAATCCTTTCATCGCCAAGGTCTTCGAGTTTTTGCTACAGCTCGAAATCTTGCTAAAATCGAACATCTTAAGAAGTTAGGACTTGAGACTCTTTCACTAGATGTCACAGATTCAACATCTATCAAGGAGGCTGTTGATGCAGTAGCATCAAAATCTGGAGGGAAATTGGATTTCCTTGTGAACAATTCCGGTGCTGGTATGTTTGAAGAGATCACATGGCTAGACCAGCATCTCAAAATAAAGCTGACAAAATTTAGGTTACGCCATGCCACTTCTAGATTCTGAAGTATCAGTTGCTCAAAGGATGTTCGACATCAATGTCTTCGCTCTCGTAGCAGTGACACAGGCATTCTCGCCACTTCTTATTTCCTCCAAAGGGACAGTTATTAACATCGGCTCAATCGCTGGCGTTAGCCCTGGATATTGGCAAGGATATTACAATGCAAGTAAAGCAGCAGTAAACTTAATTACTGATCAGCTTCGTCTTGAACTCGAACCTCTCGGTGTTAAAGCCATTCTTGTAATGACTGGTGTGGTAAAAACCAACTTTTTCGACAATCAACCATCGGTCAAATTACCAGATAACTCGCCATATGCCCCGGCGAGAGATATAGTTGAATCGGCTGCGGCAGGACATGCCGTATTGAGCAATGCAGTGGATGTCGATGTTTATGCCAATAAAGTAGTGAAGAACGCTTTGAAAAAGCATCCACAGACACATCAATGGGCTGGTGGAGATGCTTGGGTGGTTTGGTTCGTCTCGACCTTCTTGTGGCATACTATTTGGGTACGTATCGAATCTTCTGGTTGATTGATGATACTAATAAGTAAAAGGATTTGTTGCTACCCTCACGATGGAGTATACCAGAATTGAAGAAGAAACTTCTGGCGACAAAAACAGGGTAGAAGGTTGTAGTAGTTGAGCTGGCGTTTTGTTTTAGGTGCTAGGCGTTGTTCGGTAATCTAATGGAAATTTTGAGAGTCTAATTTAATCTAATCTGTTCCTTCTTACATACTCCAGATCTTTTCCTCTCCCTAATTCTCAATGTATAAATAATTATGAGGGGTTTCTATGTGTTGCTTCTATGAAAACAATAATCAATGATGGATGAATATTTGGTTGCGAAGTCGCAATCTAGACACTTGAATTATGTCTTACGCGCTTCACTTTAAATTCCCCCATTTCGCGAGAAATCGATGCTGTAGTGTACTTCAACATGGAAATTCTGAACCCTGTCAGAAATAATTTCTCTAGAATTTATGGCCATGACAAATTACTTGATTTGGGAAAGTTCCTGTTGAGTGATGATCCAAAGCTGGGCCTCGCAACCAGACTAGATGTCCGCGCCTGTCTTTGTCGCTTATCATATTGACTCGGGTGAATAAATAACTTAGTTGGCTACAATGAAATTATATGCAGAGCTTTTCTAGAATTATTTGAAAAATATACCTTTGGACTTTTGAGAGACTGTGTTTCAGAGTGAGATGTTATTGATCATTTATGAGATTTACTTAGTCTAAGAACGTCACTTGATCCTAGGCTTGTAAGTGATGTTTGCTGATTCTATTGCCTTCAGAGGGTACATTCATGAACCTCGACGCAGTTTGACTAAATAGCATTTTTCTCTCGACAAGAGAAACCTTCAAAGTCCCAGCATCTGTGTGCCCATCTTATTGTCGGCTGGAGAAAAGTCCTTTTAAGATATTTTTAAAGGCCGTATGTAGAATTCTCTTCAACTCTCGTACCAGCCCTTATTCTCTTATTCCTCAAGATCTTTGCACAAGCTCCAATGCGTACATCATTCTCAATTACAACACCCATTTCAATAATTGCTGATGCTTCAATTACAACATTCTTTCCGATTATGACATCATGTCCAATCACTACATTTACGCCAATGCGTACATTCCAGTCCATCGACACGCCTTGTCCCACGCTTGTATGGCTGTTGATCTCTGTGCTGCCCACGATCCGGACATTTTCGCAGACATGTACACTAAGTCCAATCACTACACCAGGACCAATATAAACATTGTTGCCAATTCTACACTCGGGTTTCAGGATAATCCTTTCATCAACGGCGTTGAGATGAACCATAGAGCCAATCATACCAGGTTCGCAGATAATGATACCGAATCTACCGCTAATCTTGATACTACAAGTAAAGCTGTCAGTAGAGCCTTCGTTTCGGATATTGGATATACGTTACAATGATGAATGAAGCCTATAGCAATTTATATCTGCCGCCACAGTGTCATGTATAGTGAACATTTCTTCGGTGAGGCGCAACCTGGCTGCAGCCTCGCTGTTATAAATTTGTAGATTCGCGTATCCAAAAGTGGTAGCTCTGGTAGAATAGACGTTTTGGCCGACGAAATTAGCCATAGCTTCCCGCTCATGGCTGTCAAAATTGATATTCGGTGGTAAATGTGCCATTGTTGATTTTCCTATTGATACGAATACTGTTTTTGTCTTTCTATGAATGGTTGAAGAATATTTATATATCATCCATGACTTTAATGCCAGTGGATTATCATTTTGGGAAAGGGAGATCGAGTTATTGATTTGATTTTGTGATTTTCACTCATTCAAGAAGCCACAACCGAAACTTCTCGATTAATATGATTTGAAGACGTTTCAAGAAACCACAAGTGCAGGCTCCCCATTAGTCTGAAATGCAGTTTATCAGAAAGATACTTTAATTTTTTGAATTCAGTGAGATCATTCACATGGTTGGAGATAATACATTCGCTTTGCATATAATACCGTTGTAAAACACTGAGGACTTTGATTTAGTCTGCCGATCTGGAACGTTGGGCACTCTGCGCAATGAGCAGGCGCTTCCATACTTGTCGTATGTGCACGTTACTCATCCCAAGGAACGAAGGTTTATACTATCATAGTCAAAAGTTTGAGCTTTGCAGTCATCTTAGGAAACCACGAGTGGAAGCTTTCGTGATGCATGTAACTAAGCTACTCCAGGAAACCAATATCAGAAGTCCACTTTTATTAGGTGATTCATGAATTCGTATCACTTTGAAATTTTCAATCACCGAAAGTAGACCATATGTTTGAACATCTACGCAAGTTTATTAATGTATGTCTAGCTATGGAATAACGAGGCCGAAAAGTACAGTAGCAAGTATGTTTTCATGCTCGCTATACTAATTTGGACCCCGAACATCAGGGATATTCGCACGGACTAACATACCCTCTTGAATGATGACCCCTTTACCTATCTGTACTCTTGTCTTCACATCAGCATTATTGAGTATGGAAGCTTTATGTCCAATTATTGCATGTTCTCCAACTTTAACGCCCCCCTTAATCAAAACTCCTCGACCGATCGTCGCTGTATTTAAAATCCGCGAACCTCTGCCAATTCCTGTTCCATCTCCAATTTGTACTCCATCCTCTATGACTACGCCAGCTTCGATGTAGACCTTGGCTCCAATAATACAATTTGCTCCAATCTCCACTCCAGGATAAATCTTTGAATGTTTACCTATAGAAGTTGATTCGCCAATCGTCACTTCTTGACCAATGAGAACCGATGTTTCAATCCTCACGTTCTCCTCAACTTTCGTGTGATTGCCGAGTTCTACCTTGTCGTTAAGGTAGACATTTGCTTTGACATGTACGTTAGATCCAATTACGCATCCAGGACGAACTGTAATAGGTCTAACTATGCCGCCGATGGCACTGCGTGAGTTGAAGGTGGTGTCATGACCAAATCTTGCTTCCGGAGAAATTTCGTTGGGTGGATTCACGGTCGACAGACGTCTATTGAAAAAACATTAGCAAAGTAGAACTGCTGTCTGAACGGATCATGGACACCCTACCTTTCAGCTGTGGTGATTGAAGTCATGGAGCGGTCTTGTCTTGGATCTCTCTGCATATTTGGTGAAGCTGGGTATTCTGAACTCGAAATGATGATTGTAAGTGTGCAAGGTATTGTTCTCGGGTCTCAATATGTATTTTCGAGTGGTGAAGAATATGAGGAATAAGAAAAGAAGAGGAAAGGAAGGGGAATCCTCGAGCCTTATAAGATCACATTTGGCTCCCATTTGTGATTCATATCCCGAGTTGGCAGTCATTTTAGACCCATCATGCTCGACTCATACACAGATCCTATCGATGAGTGTTTTTGGAGTCATACTTTTCACATCATGATTCATGAACGGTACGTGCCTGAGCCGTGAAATCATAGTATCGACTGTAAAGCTGTGGAATGGATTGAATGACACGAAATCGAGTGGCATTTGCTTTTAAATATCTTTCTTATAATCATGATAGGTTGTCTTCCTTGGGATTTGAAGAATGCGCAAGAACTGAGCTTTGATCAGTCCCCTCTACACATATAATAATGACAGCTAAGAGCAGTAGATCTGATCCAAGTATCCATGAAAGAGAACTTACAAGAGTAGTTTGAGTTTGCAATGCCCGTCTTAAATATCCAGTTGCTGCGGTACTCCGTACTGAACTCGCTTTCAGATCTTGCGACACCAGGAAATTTCTTGCCTTCTCAGGCCATTTTGGATATTCTATAGACTCCCTTCGAATATCGAAACTTTCAAGTTCCATGTGTATCACAATACTGTACTCATACAGCATAATATGCACACAGTGATCCATTACCGCTTATGCTCCTAACAGCCTCAAGAGCTAACCTCCGTCGTCTTACTCGACAGAGAGTACCTAATGTTTTCACTGACAAGACACCGCAATTTATCGCCGAATTCTAGTCGAGTGTTTGAAAAGCAAGGGCGAGTAAGAGACTCGATTGGAAAATTCCACCACTGCATCCAGACGAGTTAATCCAACTAGAGATCGAAATAGGAATAACTCAGCGCCAAAATAGGTAGTATCAAATCGTCGCAAGTATTATATTGGAATTCGATTCCGGAGTTTCCAAATCCTAGAAGCTAGATGATAGTCCAAACAATGAATACTCTGATATGGCGTGATATTGCAATGTTATATTATCACACTCGCAGTTCTCAAGGTGTTCGAAGCCAAGTTCGATATGCTGATCTTACACACTAATGGTGCACAAATGCGGTTTTATTCACTTCTACATACAATTGCTATTAAACGCATCATAATACCGAAGTCATGAGCACTCATTTTAGTCTTTCACCATTATCACTATACCCAAGGAACCCTATGAAACATCAAAATCAACATATCTTGAATATAAATATCGAAGATTTGCAAACAACATGCCGAGTACTAAGACTGTGCCGAAGGTTCGCACCATATTTCGAGGTCACTTGTATGACTGCTTATGATCCTAGAGCATCAAGTACCAGAAGCAAAAGAACAATACAGTCTGGGAACTTGCTCTTAGTTCAAGTGAGTATAGGGAACTTCATTGTATTTAGTGACATGTGCAGACTAGGTGCAACTAACAATATTACATATTCTGGGGTTTACCTGACTTCAAATACTCCTCCACCCCCCCTAAATTCCGAAAAGAATATGTCGCCCAAACAGAAAAGAAAGTTTCAAAGCCGAAGGATACTACTTTGGCAACATAGCTCCGTTATCAAGCCTCCTGATAATCTTGGCAGGTACACCACCAACAAGACAATCTGTACATGCATTAGTATCTAAGCAAAACGATCTCCCAACCCGATCTATCGCACTTGCTTGAAGTGCGCATTATAAATGAAAGGCTGAAAGCGAAATAAGAAAGGCACAACACTTACTTGCTTCAACATCCTTGGTCACAACAGCTCCAGCTGCAACCGTCGATCCATTCCCAATAGTAACCCCTGCAACTATAACTGCTCTTCCTCCAATCCAGCAATCGTCGCCAATAACTATGGGTTTTGCATAAGACCCCATTTGGCTTTCCTTTCTCGACACAGCGTCAGGTTCATGCGTATCGGTGCATATACAGACACCGGGTCCAATGAGAACACGGTCGCCAATTTGAACGGGTGCGCTATCAAAAATCGAGACACTGTCATATCAGACTTAGCAGAATCTTGGCCGGATAGTAATATGTGACTTACTCCCTGTTGATATAGGCGTCTTTACCAATAAACGTGTTGCAGCCCCAGGTACAGAATAGGGGAGCCTCGATGCTGGTATCCAGACCAAGTTTGCCAAACAAGGTCTTAGCTACAGCCATTCGACGAGTTCTAAGGTCGTCAAGAGTATCTTCATCGTTTATGGAGTTGTCGTTGAATTTGAGTAAATGCCGACGTACGTTCAACTTGAATTTGAGCATACAATCGGCTAAACATGCCTTGAAACTAAACGCCGCAAGAATTAGTGATCATATCAATGTATTGTTGAGTCAAGATGAACTGACTTCATTCCTGAGATCATCTTCTTGAACTCATCGCACATAGGCTTCGGAATGTCGGCACTCTCGACCATTTGTATCAAGTCTTGGTTGAATCTTACGGCCGCCATGATGCTGTTCCCTTTTGGTGCTAAGCAGAAAAACAAAAGACATTTTCGAAATTTATGAAGGCACTACAGAGAAATCAAATTGAATCACATTCATGTAAGAGTTTAGGCCCCGGCTTATCGCACACCAATCGAAAACACAGCAAAACCCTTCATTTATTCAACTTTTTAACTAATAATCGGTTCTTGAAGCAACCGACTAGTTCCTAATCGGGGAAAGCAAATGTCCCCGGAAAGCAAATTGTTCCCGTAAGATTTTGGATATAAAATGTATCAAAATCATTCAATTTTATTAGAAATCTAGTTCATTTTTAGTATACAATCTTCAATTTTTAAATAATTTTTAAACTTTTTATATAATTATATTCAATAAGATTATAGCTTTCTAATGATATTAGATTTTTTTTTGAATTACTTTAAAATTCATAATATTATTTATAAAATTCAGATATTTTTTAATAAAAATCACAAAATCTATATCAAAATCTTACAGGAACAATTTGCTTTCCGGGGACATTTACTTTCCCCGATTAGGAACTAATCGATCGTTTATAAGAGCTAACTATTATATAAAATTTAAATGAATAAGCTAATGAAATGATTTAAATCAAGATTTATAATAGATATTCATTGAAATTATTCAAAAAAACAAATGAATTATTTTTAGTTATTTTTTTTTTTAATAAAGTTATTGGTTTTCAGAATAAGAATTTTTCAAATTTTTCAAAAAAAATCGTTTTTTTTTTTGTATGAGAAAAGAGGTTAAATGTATATTGAAAAAAGTGAAAAGCTTGATTATATTTCCTATAAAAGATTGAAGCTATTTAAGGTACTAGAAAGCTAGTAAAACCATACTAGAAGGGGCTATAAGTCGGATACCCCACTTTCTGGCCACCCCCCTTTTGGGCCACTTTTTACACCAAAAATGGAAATTTTAACTCTCTCATTTATAGATAGAATTTAATGAAAATTTACATATATATAATTTGAATCGATTTAAGCTTATTCTGAAATTTTCAGATTTTTAGGATTTTTCTGTATTGAGATCTAGAGCTTCAAAATATCGATTTTTAAATTTGTATGGGAATCACATACAAATTTGAAACTTTTATAAAATCTTTAATAACTTTCGAATAAAAATTGCTAAAAATATATTGTAAAATTTTGCTATCACTTTATAATATATTTCATATAACAGATTCAGAAAAAATAGAAAATTTCTCATAAATAAATATTTAAAGGGGTACCCTCAAAATGACAGGGATTATTTATACTACTCTAAACTCACCGTATACTATATCTCTATATCTGTTAATTTTTTTGAATTTTTTTTTGAATTTCTATATAGATTCAAGCTCAAATATCTCAGAAATATATATAGTTTTCTTTTAATAATTGTTGTTAAAAAGTTATTAAAGATTTTATAAAAGTTCTAAATTTGTATGTGATTTCCATACAAATTTGAAAATCGATATTTCGAAGCTCTAGCTCTCAATCCAGAAAAATCCTAAAAATCTAAAAATTTTAGAATAAGCTTAAATCGATCTAAATTATATATGAATAAATTTTCATCAAATTATACCAAATATTGATAGAGATATTAATAGGTCTAAAAACTGATTTTTGGTGTAAAAGGGTGGCCCAAAACAGGGGTGGCCAGAAAGTAGGGTACCCGACTTAGTATTCACTCTGATATCTGTATGAGAAAAGTGTTACATATAATAAATTTTCAAAAACTTCAACTTTAAAAACCTACAATTCTATCAAAAAAATGATTAAAAATAATCTATTTTATTTTTAAGATTCAAAATATAATAATCTTCTATAAATTTAAGTTTCAATTTACTTTTTCAATTATTGAATGAATTATAAAAAAAATTAGTTTATATGAGAAAACGACTTTTTGGGGGGGTTTTGTCACGAAATAAGGTGGTGTGCGATAAGCCGGGGCCACAACTCTTACTATGTCTCAAATTTCTATAGCGTGACAATCCCAATTAGAAAGGTTGAAAATCAGTCTGTCTACCATTCAGATTTCAAGTAGGCAAGAAGAATGGTGTTGTGAACCAACTTCGGAATACAAATTGGGTCGTTGGATATTGAAGAAGCTGAGAGAATACAGCCACTCGGTGTAGAATATGTCGATCCTGTTTCGTAAATGAAGACGGAATTTAATGGAATTGGGAATCATGAAATTAGGAAAACCTCTTGTGCCACTCTTTGGAAATAGAAGTATACTTGAGTATGACCAACTTTTTGCGTGTGAGAACCTCAAAATAACGGAAAAACAAATCATCGTAACTCGAAATGGAACTGATATTTTGCTGACCCAATACCAATAGAGATGAATGTCTCCTAAACGCCATGCTCCAAATTTTAAAAGTAGCTATTCGTCACAATTCTTTTTCTTTCTTCGACTTCTCGGGTCGCTCTAACAAATGTTCCCGACCCGTGACAGGTGCGTTACCTACGGCAGGTTTACCGCCGAAGGTCTCGAAGCCTTTATGGAATACAAATTCAACAGCTTCCTCGACAGGCTTGTCAAACAAGAAAGGTAAAGCGGGTACAGCAGCCAGTCCCAGACCTATGGGGCCCCATGTTCTAATCCTTACATTCTTGACATTCTTCATATATTTACCGGAATATCGCACAATGGAATGAATGGTGAAGGCGGGTAAACCTGATCACGTCAGTGATGGGCTCTTGGTGGAACTCTTTTGACATCAATGTCGGCATGAATGTGAAAAAAAAATCAATGCACCTACCCATAGAAGCAATTCCTTGAAAGAGGGCACGCTGTGCCATTACAGTCCTATAATCATCCAATGGCGCAACTTGACGAGGTTTCAGTGACACCCCGTTCTCATTGGCGGCTATCTTAAGATCCGTCTTTGCATCATTGTATCGATCGTGCATTGCTTCTCGCGGAAGCTCCGGATGCAAAACCTCCTGATTCCTACAGTATGCCTTGTATCCCTCGTGTGTGACATCGCCAATAAGATAGGCCCACGAAACGCCATAAGCTGCTCGAACCCAATTTGGATGAGCTACCGGTCGAAAAGACTCCCCGATATCTGATGTATAAGCTACGTATCGTTGCGCAGATAATAGGGCTATCAGAGATCTTAGCTAAAATTCTAGAACATGCTGCATGAAAAAACTGACCTGTTCGTATGCGAGTAGCATATGCCGCATATCTAATATTGCTTTCGGTGGTCTGAGGAGCACTGTATCCCAATTAGCATTCTGTGAGTAAAAATTGTGCTTGATGAGTCTATGTGAATCTCGAGTTCAAGAGGCTAGCTAAGACAAGAGTCGCATGGATACATACTATCCATCATAAAGCTCATCGTAGAAGTTATCCTCCTTATCTGCTTTGTCTACGATTCTTTGCATTCCTTCAGGAAGCTTTTCCACGTCCGGTAGACCAGTCGGGGGAGGACCTCGAGAGTTATTGTTATCCTTTCCAGCCATTTTTTGTTTTTGTACTGAAGATGTTGAAGTAGAAAACTAGTGAACAGTAAATAGTGTACCAAGATGTTTCGAAGATCGGATTAGCTGTTTTAATTGTGAAAAAAGATACGTTGTATGTTTGATATATTCAGTGTCTCTTGTCGCATTCCTTTTCTATGACCTCGGACGGAAGAACTCGTCAAGTATTAACCGGTGTTCTCGTCCGGTCCTGGCATGGGGAAATGACGATGCCAACGAGTGGGGGATTGATTGTTCCTGGTACTCCTCTAATTCTCAGACGCTAAAAGGTGGAGTGGAAAGCTGGAAGCGGAGCCCTTTCGCTCGCCTCCTTGCTTTGTTCTGTCCCTCAACGCGGGACGGAAAGACAACGTCGGCATCTCGGAAACTTTCGGTGCGCGCTTGGCGCTTAAATCGCCTAGCTTGGAAATTTGTATGGCTCCAATTCAATCAAACTGTACCGGTTCAATACTATCACGAACCTTCACTCCGTCACCGCAACCATATTCGAACAATTATCGATTTAGTCAAATCTTCGAACTCGTCAAAATGGTTTCTTACTACCAAATCGCCGGAAAGCAAGTTGGCTCCCACTACGTAGGTGGCCTATTCCGAAGTCCTCTACTCAAAATCTTTGGTTTTTCCTGCATGCAATTGAACAAGCTACGCAGTGAGCAGAAGTCAAGGAGTATTACTAACAAGAACCGCAATACTAGTTAGCTATGGCAGTTCTCGGTTCGATGGCTGGACTCGTCACTTTGTCCACTCGTGGTGGATCTGCTGCAAAGAAGGAGTCAACTCCACCAATTAACGCCAAAAGTCCAGATGAGGAGAAATACATTAAGTAGGTTCAATGAAAGGATCCTTTGATTCTATGGCCATATATCATTTGCATGCTCTAACATCTACTAGGGACTTCATGGCAAGCATCGAGGGAAGCAAGAATGGAAACAACGCAGACTTGACCAAGAAGGATGCAGGAAGATAAAGGATATATCATGAATTGAAAATGAGCGGCTGAACATTTTTGCCAATCGACTTCGCAGGTTCGGGTGTAAATATAGAATGCGGTCAAAACCCCATCAAATCGAGCAGACATGCAGATACCATGTTAAGATCCGAATTCCACGTTCTTCCTGATATTCCCCACCCCCATCTTCATACCAAGTGCCAGTAAATGAGTTTCAAGAAGACTTGATATGTACTTGCATTGATTGGAAGGAAACATCGCTGTTGTGATCAAATGGCCTATAGTCCCACCGCCATTCATAGACATCATTCACAGGATCATGATTTGCCGCTTTTAATTCAGTTCACGGTTAGTGCCTGGTTAATTTCTATCGTCAGCTTCTTAAGCTGTTTTATCAAAGTTGCCTGTCCGTGGATTCTATTATCCATTTGAAACCCTCTTATACTCTCAATCGCATTGATGATGATGATGGATCTTTACTTGAGAAGTTTTCATTCACTCTTCAATCCAAGTCCATACCGAATACTGGATTTCTTGATGAACTACCTAGGTAGTTAAAAAAACAGATTGTTTTAACAGAGTCATATTTCTTTTGCGATTTCCTTGCTTGATTTACAGAGCGATGAAAAATAGGAAAATGGTCCTACTCAACCCACCCAACCCCTCCGCTTGACTTTTACTGTACTTAACATTTTCCTCAATTGAAAACAGCCAAGTATTTTCACACGGTTCACAAACTTCAAAGGCTACTCTAGATCCTTATTAGACCCTATCCAACCTTGCCCGTCTAATTGTCAAGCACTATGCACCTCAGCAATGAAATCATGTCAAGCAGCGATGTGAAAAGCACGATCGAGATAACTTCAATCCACCACTCGTCTTTTTAAAGCGCGATCATGGTTGATTTTAGGTTAAAATGCAAAGTTCGAACTGTTGGCCACACCATCCTTTGAGTTTGACGAGGGAGCTTCCCTCAACGCGATGTGAGTATTGGGGATTTACCAATTATACAACGGTGCTAGAGATTTGTGGATATGAATTGTAGACAAAGCTGTTGATATACATTTCCTGTGCTGATATATATTTTCTCTGTCGATGTACATGTTCTCTGTTAATATCCACGATCTCTGTCAATATGCATATTATCTGTCAACATACATGTTCTAGATTGAATTTTGGGAACTACATGGACTCTCATGGCTTATCCTGAAGTAGATTCCTGTTTGTATAAAAGGACTGTGATTCACGACCGAAGTTGAGATCAATACCAAGCTATCAACCAATTCACCTTACGTTCAACTTCAACTTCCATGACATAAACTGTTCTCATTTCAAGCCCATCTATCCCGGAAGTGTCTCTTCTAGTATCTTCTTTATTTCACCATATACCTAGAATATACCACCATATGAGTTTAACCCACGTATCATAACAGGCAGACCGAATCATTCTTGTAACTATCTACCGGCGAAGAAGATTATCTACAAATATAATGCACAACCTCCAGATCGAGATTTATCAGTATGTCACTCCAATTCTCATACATTCTCCCCAAGTGAGAACAAGCATATGGATGAATTTCTTCCAAGACGCAAGACAGATCTAATCAAACCCCACAGAAATATGGTCGCGGCCTCGAGGCTAAAGACAATATGCACAGCTCCGCTATGACCATATGGAACAATCTTCTATTCAATGATAGTGAAAAGGAGCAAGCTGAGAGACAGGCACAGGAGGACGAGAAGGCGGGAGGGAAAAAAGATGAAAAAGAAGGAACGGAAATAAAATGAGAAGAGCAGAAAGGAGCAGGACAAGAGGCTCAAAATAATGGAGAGCCGAGCGGAGGCAAAGAGGAGCGCCATGGTTTGCTGGGCGGAAGTTCAAGGAGACACTAGACATTATGAGGCATTTTTATTGGACAAACCCCATTGGAAAATTAAGGGTTTTATGCTGTTGAGGCCTGGCTGGATCAGGCTGGAGTAAAGGTTGAATCGAGGGTCATAGCAGAGATTTATATAGACTCAAATATCATTCATTATTTAGGCACACCATCTCCGCCACGAGCTGTCCATTTCACAAGATCAACAAGCATTGCTATCTTGTTTCACAACGACGACCCGGACATCCGCACTTCGAAAAACTTTCGTCGGATCTTTAGCTAGAAGTTTCCGCACCCAGCTCGTAGAACAGAATCTGTTTAACACTGTCCAAGAATTTATCCACAGACTCTTTGGCATAAAAGACTCATTATGACAACCAGTAATTACACATTTCGCCTACTAAGACCGCTGATACGTACCCAGTTAGCAATAGAATATTGATCAATACACCCAGCACCACTAAGCGAGGGGACACTGGGCATGAGTATTCCCGGGACCGGAGGTTACGAAAATGCAAAAACCATCATCTCGCAATATTAATCATAGGAATCTAGAGTGGGAAAGATTCTGTGATAGTATCTGGTTGTAAAGTTTCAGAAAATATCGACTGCGCGGGGAATTCGGCTGGATCTGAGCTTGTAGGTAATTCGAGCACGTATACACTCGTTGGCCAGCCCGTAACATTTTTTGGAGCTTTTGCACATGACTTTGTATACATATCAACTGTCGATTGTTGAGACCAACTACATTGAAACGTATTCTCTTTGACAAGATATAGGAGCTGTCTTTCATCGGTGAAACTGTTTCGGCAGTCAAAAATGACTATGGAGCAAAATGAGAAGCTTCTAAGCTTTTCTTGACAAACAGAAGAAATAGGTTAGGGTTCTCCTATATATTAATTTCAATCTAAATTGAAGAAATGTTCTCAGTTAGGATTGGGAGGGAGTGATCGAGGGAATAGAAAATGGCGTGCGTTAACAGCAAGGTTGACGAAAACCAAAGAGCTTCACACACGTAACGTCACAAGTTATGTTGTAAAGGAAGCTCCCATTTGCCCTATTGGAGAGACACAGTTGAGGAATCACAAACATTTAGAAAACAACGATCGCTTGGTGGGTTTGAAGGGGAAACTCACATTATGACGTCCCTGGGCAAGCTTTATGATAACAAAGAATGATGTTCAGACGATACTTACTATTCGTGACCGCAGATTTGACCTTGGCTACTTTGATGAATCGAAATTTACAGAAAGGCTCTCGATATATTAACGCAGTTGGATGTTGAACGATGTTCAGTCTTGATAATAAGTAAATCCAGGCCCTGGTATTGTTTGGCTACCCTACCGGTGCCACCATCTAACATTTATTCAATCCCACTGCAGTATATAAACCCAATTGATGATTGTCCTCTGTACAAAGGATAGATTAAAAGTTTGAAGTTATTCACGGCCGTACTGAACATGTTCCATCAACACCTAACCCACAACCTAGCCGTAGGCTACAACTAGCTCCCTCTAGCTTCCCGCCATCACTTCATGATACAACATATAAATTTTGAAGGATATTACTCTAGACCTCTTGAAGTTATCACTCTGCAGACACAATACAACGACGGCAAATCCATCTAGATTGATAACAAACTTTACAAGTCATTTTACAGCCAGCAACTAGTATAAGAGTTGCTAAACAACATGCCTTACTTTTCAAGCATCAGCGACACAATGTGGATGTGCTGTGATAATGCATCGAGGGATAATCAAGGGGTGAGTTTAATCCCAAGAATAATACAAGAAGCTAATAATGTGCTAACTTGAGATTCAAGTGCGGTCAACGTAATAAGATGAATTTGGACAAATGTAGCAAATGCTCTCATGAAAAATGCGATAAATGCAGGGTAACGCGATTACAGTTGTTGATGGAGGACTTCATAGACACTGATAAAGTAAAGGAAGCGTTGGAATCGCAGTTAAAGGAAACTCCGACAGTAAGATCTACCAAGAAAGTAAATAATATCTAAGGATAGTGCTGGTCGACAGGTATTTTGCGAGATTGTTTTAGGGGAGATTTAATGCAAGATCGAAGGCATTCGAAATCTCAAAGTATATTCTCAAAGAATATAGGGGCAGGCACAGTATGGAGTCGCATTTAGTTGATCGAAGGATGGAGATAAGATTTAAGGGCAGTCAGTGCGGTGTGTCGAAGGAAATCTGTGTCTGCACTTGCAGATAGATCTATGGCATGAATGCGATTTTGTCTCTCTAGAGTTTTAAGACTATCATCTGACATCGAATTCGGGGTGGGATCAGGATGCATTAGCATGGGAGGTTTGTGCTGCGGCGTACCTCGAATGAGTGCATATTTCAATATTCCAGATAAAGTAACATCATTCATCACTCTCCAACACTGCGCATATATGTCGCTGATAGTCTCTGTGGTGTGTTTTGTTTGAAATCTGTACTATCTCGTTTGAACAATCGCTCACGAGACTTCTGTTACATCAGCGTAACATATATGCCCTGACATGCTTTATTTGTTCATAGTTCCATGGTATCCTAACGCCATAACGTACATTCGTCGCAAGCCAAATACCTCAGAAAGCTGGAATAGCTCGTTCTAGAGGATCCCTTGCTGTCTCCCAAGCTAACCAATCCGACCTTGTAGTACTGCAGTGCCATTAGCATTTTACCTCGAGTCATTTGTACAGACAACTTACGGTAATAATCCCATTCCATTAACTTTCCATATTCCTAGCGCCAAAGCTATCACTTGACATGCAACATATGCCAATTTAACTACACCCAATTTTCCTCTTGTTCCTTCACTCTCAAAACGTTCAAATGCTTGATTTGTAGCCATGAGCCCCATCAGGGGATTTTTGAACGCCATAACCACCATCATGATGGAAAATATTTGAAGAGAGTTTCCTGACATGTACATCATAATCGCCGTCATTGGAAGTTGTTTGACAGGGGCCAAAGCCACTTCCCATGCTTTCTTAAGCTTCAGTGTATCCATTTCAGCGGGAGTCGGAGGTTGTCGTGGGGTTTTGGTGGTTTGTTTCTGGAGAACACGATTTTCAGCAGACGGTCAATAGTATATGGGTTGGAAGTAACATACTCGGCTTGAAGAGGAGGAAGCTGTGTATCCTGGAGGATCTGGAATACCTGCTGATTTTGGCTTCGATAATGGTGGAGTATTAAGATCTACAACCCATTGAGGGGGAGGGGGAGGTGGTGGAATCGCGAGCTCCGCCATATTGATAAGTTACGATTCGGCGGTTGAAGGATAATAGAAGAGCCTCGTATTCTTTGTAGATTGTCGTCGTCGCACGTCGTGTCAAATTAGGTATTAAGGCAGAAACTAAAAATATTAATGCCTACGGTACCTAGCAGGTAGCAAGGAAGCGGCTCAGAGCGGTACACTGTCTCGCTGTTCATGGAACAAGCTTCCCACGCTAGCTTAAATCCGCGATCCCGAGCTTACTAGAGCCACCCCTTTAGATGATCTTTACTTCACGTCGTTCTCAAAGTCCGTACTGAGCTCCACGAATTACAAACATTGCATTTACATTTGATGAAATTGTATCTGCGAAATTTAAGATTCCTCAAGTCGATGGAGAGATATCTGCGACAAACTCAAATATCATACTGCCGGTGATTGTGGCGCATTATCGATTTACCCTGTGGTGCCGGCTTGAGAAACAAACGATCTCAGTGGTCGACGCATTTCTTACGAGATTGAACTGGGAGGGGTTTCGTGTACGATCGAAGGTACAGCGACAAAGTCACCATACACACAAAGGGATTGAGGCTCGCACATCATGAGCTCAGGCGGGGGAGATGCGAAGCTCTTTGCAAGGGTATGTCACTTGAATCAATTATCATACAATTTCACAGTTTATTATATATCATTTGCGCCTCAACTTCCCTTCATGTGCTCGCCCGATCTGTTGCATATTTGTAGCACCTAAGATGCTTGGGGTCTTATAGTCTGCAAGATTTCAATCATCCCGGAGTTCACAATGAAGGCGCACCCTGCTATCATGTTTCTACCCTCCTATATACCACCAACCGGATATGGATCAGTTGGCTCACTTTATAATCGTTCTCCACAGGGCAAAGTCGCGGAACTAAGATTGGAATTGAACAGTGGTGGGAAGAAAGACAAAAACCATGCCGCGAAGAAGATCGCTTTGAAGAAGATTGTAGCCAACATGACCATGAGCAACAATGATATGGTCGCTCTGTTTCCAGATATTGTTGGGTGTATGCAAATACCCAGCTTGGAGATTAAGAAGATGTGGGTTGACTAATTACATTAAAAGTTGCGCGAATGAATAACTGACGCAAAAGTAGGTGCTTCCTGTTTCTGGTCAACTATGCTCGTATGAAACCAGATGTCGCTGTCAAGGCTTTACCTACTTTGCAAGAGGCAAGTTCCAAATTCTGCACTTCCTTGCTGAAACTAACCATTGCGGACTAGGATATGAATGACTCCAATCCTCTTGTCAGAGCTCTTGCATTGCGCACAATGTCATACATTCACGTTCGAGATTTTGTCGAAGCTACAGTACCACCTACAAAGCAACTCCTTCGAGACGCAGACCCGTATGTTCGCAAGACGGCAGCTTTCTGTGTCGCAAAATTATACGATCATGATAGGCATTTGGTTGAAGGCTCAGATCTAATCGACAGATTAAATTCGATGTTGAGGGACGATAACCCAACGGTTGTGGCTAGTGCATTGGCCAGCTTGATGGATATCTGGGAGAGGAGTGATGCTATCAAGTTAACCATTGACTACGGCAATGCCTCTAAGATGGTTCAAATTCTCCCAGACTGTTCCGAGTAAGCATCCTACTCTCCAATTTCCCATTGAACGACCTAACATTACCAGGTGGGGCCAAACATATATCTTGGAAGCTTTAATGTCGTATGTTCCACAAGAGTCCTCCGAGGCTTTATTGCTCGCGGAGCGCATATCTCCACGTTTATCACATTCAAATTCTGCAGTCGTTCTTACATGCATAAGAGTAGTTTTGTACCTCATGAACTACATTAATGATCAAAAGCAAATATCGGCATTATGCCGGAAGCTCTCACCCCCTCTAGTCACTCTATTGGCGAAGGGTCCAGAGGTTCAATATCTCGCATTACGGAATGCACTGTTAATATTACAAAGAAGGCCGGAAGTTCTACGCAACGATATTCGAGTATTCTTCTGTAAATATAATGACCCAATTTATGTCAAAGTTACCAAGCTGGAGTTGATCTTCATGTTGGCGAACGAAAAGAACATCCAAGAGGTGCTTACCGAATTGAGAGAATACGCCACAGAAATTGATGTTCACTTCGTCCGCAAATCAGTCCGAGCAATCGGAAAGCTTGCTATCAAAATCGAGCCTGCGGCTAGACAGTGTATTAACACATTGCTGGAGCTAGTGGCCACAAAGGTCACATACATTGTACAAGAAGCAACAGTGGTAATTCGAAACATTTTCAGAAAGTACCCTAATCAGTACGAGTCCATAATTGGCACATTGTGCGAGAATTTGGATTCGCTAGATGAACCCGAAGCTAAGGCTGCCATGATTTGGGTTATCGGACAATATGCCTCTCGGATAGAAAACTCAGATGTATTACTTGAAGATTTTCTCTATTCATTCGCGGATGAGCCAGTGGAAGTTCAACTTGCTCTTCTCACGGCGACCGTCAAATTGTTCATTCAAAGGCCAACAAAAGGGCAAGAACTTGTCCCTAAAGTGTTGAAATGGGCCACAGAAGACACAGATAACCCAGATTTGCGGGACAGAGGTTACATGTACTGGCGTCTGCTATCTTCAGATATGGCCACCGCCAAAGCTATCGTTATGGGTGAAAAGCCTCCGATCACAGCTGAATCGGAGAAACTCGACCCTGCCACTCTCGAGGAAATGTGCCTTAACGTTGGAACTCTCGCTACTGTTTACCTTAAACCTGTCCAGCAAGTATTCCGTTCCGCTCGCCCACGTCGCCTTACAGACTCGCCCGCTCTACAAAAGCAACATCTTCCAAATGGGGATTTGGACGCTCAGAAATCACTTTCTGCATTTGGAAACTCTCAACCTATGATGAAACCCGGTGGACAAGGTGATCTCGCTGCAGCAGTCGATGCAGCAGATGCGTTCTTTGCCGGTGTTGGCCAGCAAATGGCAAGCATGAACTTGAATGGACAGGATGAAGGATTTGGTGGTAGTCCTACCGTTGGAAGAGGCGAGATGCAATATGTGGTTAATCAGAACGCACCCGAGCAAGTTTATCAACCTGCAGTAGGACAGGGTTCCAACGGTGATTTACTTATGTTTAATTGAAAGTTTTTAGCGACTTATTTCTGCTACGGTATTCGGGGAAGGGTTTTATGGCTAAACATATTTGTACTCGGTATGATATACTAAATAAATGGGAATCTTCTTTTTTCTTCAATTTCTGTTCTTAAAATTTAGGATAAAATAATTACGAATAATTGACAAAGTAGTATGCTATGGGTCCGCATCAATAGTTAGATGGTACTGGTTGTGAGGATAGTGAAAACTGAAGAAATGCGATCAAGGTAATAATTACTCCACACTAGCAAGGCAGAGCAAGCTTCCAATATTGAAGAACTCTTAATTTTGGAAGAATAACTACATGTTATGGCGCCACAATTGATTTTCAACCGTCATGTTTTCCCCGAAATTTCACACGAATTAGCTGACAGTTATTCATCCCTAGACTAATTGGTCATGATTATCGTGAAAGTTAAATGGAAATATCAGGATATGTGTGCAGTCATTACCCCGCGGAACCACAAACTCTGAGATATGCAACAAGAGACTTCTCGACCGGGGTGATTGGTAACTTGTCGAGCTTGTGTAACCGATATCCTTGGCCAACCGATGTCCCTAACCGAGCTGGACCCCTTCATCCTCTCACAGAAGGTCTCAGTGCCACCAACATCAGCCACACCATCCTTCCAAGTTTTCTTGGATGCATGGCTTTGGCGTTGATCACAGTATTTTTCGTCATCAGGGTTGACTTTAAACGCATGGAGATACTATCGCCTTTCGATCCGCTCATTTGGCTGCATTAATTTCGAATTCGGGATCCGATTTCATAAACCTGCAGATGGTCAGCAACCGTAGTCATGATGTACCCACTCCTCTACTTCCTTTCAGGACTCATCCCATCCACACTCGATTACTATTTCAATTGTAGTCGCGCCACGTGCGGATTGCGATTTTTCTGCAAAAATAAAAATTGTACAATCACACGTTTGCAACAAGCAATGCAAGTCTCCCATTATCGATTCTTTCTACAATCTATCTATCTAATAGTACAACTCTAGTGTCTAGAGCTAGTAGAAATGTCTAATAATGAAGCTCCTATCATTCCTGTTACAAATTTTAGCATTTCTTCATCAGGGACTTCGGCTTATTTTACGCTTGTTCTCAGTTCTTTGCCTCTTAGTAAGGGCTCCGAGGTTCCAGGCCATGCATTCTCCGATATGATGCCTTAAGATGAACGGGCGGATTGTGGAATCTCAGGTAGCGATTTCAATGACGATGATAATCGCTCCGATATCCCATCTGGCCGTTTGTCCAAGTGATCTCTCTGCGCTCGCTTCAGAATATATAAACGCTATGATAGATATCCAACAAGTTCTGCGAGGGCTTGGGCAAAGGAAATGGAGGATTGGAGCTTATTTGATCTCTAAACTGCAATTTTCAAACGCGCGATCCTGGGTCGTGATGCAGCTTTCCGCACGGGAGCTCGACAGGAACTGTGCATTGTGGATGATAGCTCAACGTAGAGGACATGCAGTTTTCAACTTGATCAGGAGTAATAGGATTTTCTTTGTTGTGGCGCATGTGCGTATATTCCCTAAAAAGTAAGCAGCCGGTCGACCCTCGGTACAAACACACATTTCTCCGAAAGTAGCTTCCCGTAACAAACAGAAGTAGTCGTGAAAAAGAATCCTTGAATGTTGCAAAAATTTACTTTTGGGAGAAAACTACATTGTAAAACTTAATCAGATTCTGGTGTGCAAGCCTGCATACCTACACGCTCGAAGAATCAGAGAGAAGGCTGTGGATCGACAATAATTTGTTATATCAGTCAGATATTAGGAAAGGGTCTGAGCCATCTAGAAAGTCATCGTATTGTCTCACGCTCTAGAAACCCCTATATATCTATAAAGATCTGATCTCAAGTCCTCGACTCGAGTTATTCAAGCACAACATGTGTTGTACCTCGTCCGCTCTCGATCAACTTGCATGCTGATACAAGTCCTTCAACAAGCCAAAAAATCAATCAATATTTAAAATGACCAATTTCGTCTCTACACTTAGACGTGGCTGCAAAGTATTTTCAACCTCCTTGACTTCGACATTTTTCACCTTCAAAAAATGGTTCCGTCGTGAAGTCAGGCCAACACTCGACGGCATCATTTCTGCAATCAATCGTTTATACCGTACTCATGTGCGTCCATTAGCATCACGCTTTGTTCAATTCATCTGCGAGCACCGAGTTCCAATAGCCCTTGGACTTCTGAGCATTCTCGTGATTATCTGGCCTGGCATTTTTACCGCACCATTACTTGCTCTCTTAGGCTTTGTGACCTTGGGTCCTGTTGCCGGTAATTAAGTTCCAAATCTTCCAACACTTCCATCATGCATCCCCTGTTGGTTATCTTTTTTAAGTTGCTCCTTCGTCTGAGGTAGTCGACTAATGCAGACCTACATTAGGATCTATAGCCTCACTTACCCAGGCGATCCTCGGAAACGTCACTGCTGGTGGTATATTTGCGTTATTTCAAAGTGCCGGTATGGCAGGTTTCGGGCTTGTGATAATTAATGGTATTGTTGTTGGGATTGCTGCTTTGGTCTTGGCTATGGTTATCATTTACTTGATTGCGGAGTGGCTAGTCTAGGAAGAGAAGATGACGTGAATAGGAGCGATGGGATGGTAGTGAGTTCGATCGAGTGCCTATGGTCTATTATGAGATGATCGAGATGGATAATGTTAATGAGCTTTGAGGCTTGCGTAGATGAGGAAGGAGTAGTGATTTACACTTTGAATTGTTACTTTAGATTCCCAAAAAAATTGTACCATTCAGACAAGTGATTACTCAGACATGAATAAATCATTTTGAACAACGGAAATGAAACAACTTCTTTAGAACATGCTGATACTGCAACTCTAGCCAGGTCTTTCATGACTAGTTAGCACTGCTGATCCATAGAATCGCGTAATACAGCATAAGAAAATTGCTCTCAGAATTGCATATTGAGAGGGTCAATAACTAGTTCAGAATCGGGTGCCGAAATTCAAGTGCACGGGTGTTTTCAGAAATGGAAGTAAAGTAGCTCTTATGTTTATAGAATTCACACATCTCATTGAATATCATAAGCTATGGGGGACTAGAGCTGAAGTGCAAACCATGGCTTTGAAATATACTAACAAATGTCGAAAAAAAAGTGTCCTAAACTATATAGCTCTAACATCAAATCTTGCCGAAGAACAGGGTATTTAGGGCAAAGAAGAAGTTAACAAACAACACCTGCAAGAAAGAACCCCAAGGAAATCAATATGTCAAACTCATAAACCTTCCTTCCCATTCGCTCCTCCCTCCATTTCGAATGCCTTCTTCATAAATCCACTTTCCAACCCCTCCTCGAGTGATCTGATATCCAATCTCCAACTTATCCTCCTCTTCCTCCACCTTCTCCACCACATTATTCTCTCGCTCATCTTCACTGTTTCTATACCCAGCTCCAGGGAACTCCCATCCAATCTTAACCACTGTCCTCTTCGCTTCCCCATTAATCAACAAACTCGGCCTAACCACCATCCACCTCTTTCCTTCTCCTTCTCCCGCCCACCTCACAATTTCCTCCTCCATTCGTATCTTATCTTCAAACGGGGTTTTTCCAAGACTGTAAAGCGGTCTCATCTTACAAGGGATATCTCTCCCTTTCCTACTAATTCCTGTCGTGCTCACCACTATCACTTTCGTCTTCATATTTTTTGGTCCATATTCTACTTCTAGAGAATCCAATGTGCTCAAGATACCTTTGACACCGTCTTGACAGAGAGTTGGATCTGACCATTTCATTGAGAAAGTGGAAGAACGGATGAGAGTCATGCCTAGAGAAGAGACGACAATATCGACGGGAAGATTGGTGGCCGGGTCGATAAGGGCGGATTTCAAGGCGGTGGCATCGCGAATATCGCCTTGAATGATATGGAGATTGGGGTAGATGGTTTTATTCGAGAATTGAGAGAGTTTGGACGGGGTGCGACACAAAACATTAAGATGAGTGGTAGATGAGGAAGAGAGGATTTCATTGAGTATTGCAAGCCCAGTTCCACCCGTCGCACCAAAAAGGGCGATTGAGGGGTTAACTTGGGCTGTAGTGATAGACATGTTTGATATACGAATCTTATTTGGGTTTTATGAAATGAAGACTGGGTGAAGTGAAGTGATAAGTTTGAAGTTTTGGCAGTTGAATTGTGAAATGGAGTGATGATATCGAAATTGAATCAAAGGGACATACCTCGATTTATACTTAATTCATTTGACATCGTGTACAGACTTATAATTAGATATATCGCTGATCAGGCCAAATTCTAGGACGACTTCTTGAGGCACATTGTTACGCACGTAAACGAAACGTACATTACGCGCGCAGAGGAAGCGAATCCTTTACGTCAAAAGAGGACTTTACTCGAAAACCCCTAAGAGTGGGTCCCGTCAGAGAGGTAAGACTGAGTGGTGGAACTGCCGTGGCTGTGCGCAACATTCCCCCGACTCCGTACGGAGTTAGCTGCGAGAGCTGAAATTGTCCCGACCACGTGATAACCTGGAAAGAACACACACAGTTCAAGAATTCTTTCCTGGACCCTGAGCTGAACATGATATATAGGATAGAATTAGTGATCACTCACATTTTCGACCGTAAAACAGCTGAAAAGATACTAAAAGCCTCATTTTCCATATTTCCTTTTCAACAAGTCTTCCAGCCCACTATGTGGCCCCCTCAACCGCAATTCCCTCCTGCTTCAACAGACCCTGCACCTGGCCATTCTATAATCGAATGCTCCGTTCTCAATGCCCAAGAATACTCCGTGACTAACCCTCATATCATGCTCTCTCTATGATCTATTTGCCAATTACTACCTGGCCCCGTGGCTTCCCCTTCATACAATATTCCAGTGACTTGTACCGCCCGCCCACCTCAACCTCTATCCGTAGTACGTTCGAATGCCAGTCTGAAACCTACGCAACTGATTTTTAATCTAATGATTGCTAATTCTCGAGGCGATGTGAAGAGTCCGATGATAGCCCCTAGCTGGCGTGCGATGTCTGTTGTGAGACATGTTGTGATGCGTACCCGTAACGTAACGACGTTAGTTTTTGGATCCAATCGATTCTGGACTGCCGAATTGCTCATCATGCCAGTATCTCCGGCCACAATTACAACCATGATGATCAGGATGTGAGATTCTGTCACCGACCACTATTGCAATCGAAGTCCTATGAGGTTCGGGTGCAGGAACTTAACAAGAGAATGACTCAAATGCTGGAAGTCAGAGAGACTACCTCTGAATTTGATGACTGCACAGAACTAACTGCGTAGAATATCATACAAATACATTGACGTTCCAGCCATAACCATAAGGGCCGATCCGGAATACTGGACCTAATAGAAATCCTGACTGCTCAGTGATGGAAACGGGTAGCAATTTGCGTTTCTCAGCTAGTTTCTCAATGTTGAAACTCTATCACTGGATATGAGATTGCTTAGTCCAATCATTCTTAACTCATGTGACCAATATACGCAATTTTGACAATTTGTTGCATATCTTTAAATTGTGTTGGTTTTTTGGTGTTGTTCGTTTGCTTACATATCCGAGTTTTATCCGAAATGAAGCTAAACAGCCCACTCCTCGTGAGTCGTCACTTATAGTTTCCTGGTCTGTCCGTCTGATATTCAAACCTTTACAAGTTCATATCTCGACATACAAGGAAACACCCAGCTCTTACTTTAATCTCGACAGCAACCTCCTCATTCACACTCCTGTCAAATACGCATTCATTGATATATAGATATCTTCATTATGGTAACATAACCTTCCTACTCCTGAAAACACGCAATTAACCAATTCGATCAATCTAGTCTTCAGAATCGCGCCTTTATACGTTCAGCACCGAAACGAAGGCACATCTACGTAAATTTAGACTCGGGACTTCGCGCGCAAGTGATCCTCAAGCTGTTATATGTTTGTCTCCCTCTCCTTTCAAGATATTTGAACGTTCCTCCAACCAAACCCCACAATGATTACACACCAGTTGCACCACCACCTTCATATAACCCTCGGGTTATTGCTGAGAAACAACTTTGATATTATCTAAATGAGTATGGGATATACAATATCATCGAACTGCTGGATTTTTTATATGAAATGGAATGTCTGCTGATTCCCTCTTATCCCTTAGATCTGATTGATAAAAGCAATCTCGAAATAAAACAAGACGAAGATGGAGTTGTATATAAAGATCTCGAATCCATAGGCGACGACCTGCCAGATCATTCACCTCGCTTTATCCTCCTAAGCTATCCTTGCACACTGGTATATTATCCCTTTGCTTCTTTTCTGCTCACCAAAAGCTAACCTACCCTAGCCCTCTGGCCGTCTCTCCGTCCCATATGTCCTAATCTTTTACCTCCCACCTACAGTCAATGCCGAACAGCGAATGTTGTATGCTGGGGCTAAGGAGCTGATGAGGAACACTGCGGAAGTTTCGAAAGTGTTGGAAATTGAGAGTGTGGAAGACTTAGAAGAGATACCTGGTAAATTAAAAGGCGATGAGAGATAAACGATGAACTTTGAATAGGAAATGAAACGAATGATGATGATGGATAGTGATGAATCTTGGACGAGGAACGACTCCTGGAACGATTCGGACACTACATGATTCAGTAGTTCGAGCTTTCTCAGTGGAGCCTCGACATTGGATACTTTCATTGTCCAACCTTGAATTTACTAGGTTAAGGACCTTTTGTAAGTGCATTGCGTCTGGAATTCCCCAAGGCACAGAAAATATGATGTAGTGCGGGTGAAACATATAAAGCATAATATACCATAATATCCGCTTGGGAGGGTTGAAGAGATCTCAAGATCCAACTAGAAATGTGATATTTACGCAATGAATAACACATATCATCACTCCCAATGATTGACATCACAGAATTTTTCTTTTGCATTTGGGCCAATTTTGACCATTAAGACGAATCACTCTTTTCACCAAGACCACTCTGAACAAAATCATTCAACAAACCTTGGAGACTAATGTTTTCCGCACTGAACCATTCGGGCAAAAGTTTCTTCCTCACACCTTGTCGAGTTCCTTTATAGAGATTACCAGGTAGAGTTGGTCAGTTTATATAAACCCGAGGGTAATTTTATACCTGGTGGTTCCATATTATAACGCTTCTTGAGCCAGACTCCTCTCAGTGAGCTTTTGAAGCCCACCCAGCAATTCACCGCGATAGTCTTCACTTGAGTTATGTACGTAATGGGTTGTAGAATAGTATGTATAATTGTACTACAAGCCACGATACGCAGAGAAGATAGAAATGGGCACGCTGCAAGCTGCAAGATATAGTTTGTCATGTCATAATTCATTCATCCCGTATGGAGCTATTTATTGACGTATACTCATCCAACAATTAAAAACCCGTATCCAAAGCAATATATTCCTTTCGTACCTTGCACTCCACCCATCATTTCCCTCCAAATCTGTCTTCAATCAATATTCCTCGCATTTCCCTTCTCCAACCCTGCATCCACATCCTCAGTTGATTCGTTCTCCACACCTCCATTTCCTCTCATCTTCTTCATACTCTTCTCAATTGTATCGTGGCCTGCTGCCGCTGCCAAATCACTATCATGTTGAACATCAAAGCTCCTTCTTAGATACTCTGGTCCCACAAATGTCAATATGATCACATAGACGTACACACAACCCATGAAAATACAAATAACCTTTCCATATTCAAAACGAGCCGTTTTGCCTTTAGGTGGAAGAGGGAATTTTTCTCCCAATTGGGCCTCGATAGTCGAACTAGCGGAGGAAACGAGATTTCCGAGTTGGTATGCGGTACCGACGACAAATGTTCGGAAAGAGCCAGGAGAAAGTTCCATGAGATGGATGGGGATAACACCCCAGGCTCCTTGAACGCAGAATTGTTCGAAGAAGGCTGCGGCGATGACGGCGCTGGAAGAAGTGTATGTGTAGGGGTAGAGAAGAGCACCGCCGAGGATGGATATGACAATTATAGAGAAGCGACGACCGAAAATTTGGGAACTGTAACCGACCAACGTACCACCGGTCATGGCACCAAGATTGGCGACGACTTGGATGACGGTAACAGCGTTTGCGGAGAAGTTGTATTGATTTTTAAGCATGGTTGGGTAGAGATCTTGGGAACCATGAGACTGGATTTGGGTTAGTATGAATACTGTAAGGTGTCTTGCGATCAGTGATGAGGAAAGAGCTTACCATGAAGTTAAAACCAGCCATGAGAAGTACCAAGTAAATCAACAAGAGCCAATGCTCCCTCAATGCTACCTTTCCTTCGGCAATGAAGGTAGCTCCGATATTACCTCGCTCATTTCGAACAAGAACACGCTCCTTGTACGCATCTGTTTCTGGGAGGCAGAGACGGAAGATGATGATGAGAACAGGCGGGCCTGCACCGAACCAGAACAAAGGTCTCCATCCATGGCTAGTGGTATTCACCAATCCTCTAGCAAAAGCTGTTGCGAGAAGATATCCGAAAGCATATCCTTGTTGAAGTATACCAGACATCAAACCACGAGCTTCTTCGGGACAATCTTCAAGCGCGGTAGCGGCAGCGTTTCCATACAATCCGCCCATTGCAATACCGAATAGGGCTCTGCACGCGAGGAATTGCTTGTAGGTTTGACAGAAACCGGTACCGAGTTCGAGGATGATGAATAGGATGTTGTTGACAATGAAGGGCCATTTTCTACCATATCTATCTGCTGCGAGTCCGAAGATGATAGAACCAACAGATCTCAACATGAGAACCAATGTAATACCCCATGTGATGTCCGTAGTAGTCTTATGAAACTCCTCTGCGAGGTCCGAAACAGTGAGACTGACTGTAAAGAAATCGAACGCATCCCAAGTCTAGGCAAAATAGTTAGCGGGAGAAAACACCAATGGTGTCAACGGTTGAGAACATACCCAAGCAACAAACGCTACAAGGAAGAATAGCCATTGTTTTCCATTCAACATAGCCAGAAGTTTGAATGGGTTAGGAGCCTTGTGCATAGGAGGCTTGAGTGTAGAAACTCGGGTCCTGCAATACTCCCCAATGGACATCTTCTGGGGAGATTGAGATTCGTTCGTGTGGGCATCATAGCCTGCAGCACCGTACTGGTCTGCCATGTTGAGCTTTGATATCTGCAAACGACGTATTAGTTTTTGATGTTCAAATTTCTACTGCGATAAGCAGGATTGAATGTATGTTGTTACCTTTCGATTCCCTTATTATCCTGATTCGAGTCTTATGATAAGGTATTCAAGCAGTTAAGAGATCGATGTCGTTACCAATTGGAAAGTAGAGTTACAATATTCTATATTCACTCCAACAGAGGAGTGATAGCTCGTGTCCACACGAAGCTCGGCTTGGAATAAATGAAGAATGAGGATGATATGATGAGATTATTTCAGAAATGAGAGGCGGGGAGCTACCTACTTATCTGTCTCTCATTCGAACGCGCATGTAGCACAAGGAAACGTTCCAGCGATAGTTAGACACCAACATTTTTTACGATCTTCCATCTGCTAACCATGGATACATGCATGCTTCCCTCATCTCCTCTAGGACTCTGATTCATCAGCTGATGATTTAGCGTTCGAAAAATGTTTGATTTGTTCTTAGCGCAGCCATCATCAACTGTAAATCCTAGCGCTCCCCGCATGGAGAATGGGGGAAAAATGGAACGTAATCCAGTGAATAAGCTTGTTTGATCCTGGTTTGGTTGCTGTTCCTCGGCTGAAAGCATGCTTGCCATACTAGTTGGGTGTCAATATCTTCTTTCCTTCTGACTAGGGTTTTTTGACATATGGCATGGGCTCCCATGATGGTTAGTATCATAGCATTGCATGGCGAGCATGGTCGAAACGACGACGATGTAAACACAGACCAAGTCTCCCACTCTCTTATACCACATCTTGAAGTTACTGACTAATAGAAATATGTCTAGACTTTATCTCTAATGACCAATTCTATAATTTGGTGTCGTTTTTCTGTGCCGATCACAGTGACATATTATCTGTGCAAGTGTGGGGATCCAACTGCTCTGGCTTGGAGCTTACTTTACTCCGTGGGAGACTAAGAAGAATAGGCCGCAAATTTTCCAAGAGCTACCTCAAGCCATAATGTCCGATCCCGAATGGAACGATACATCCGCACTCATTCTGTACTTTGCTGGGTAGGTACCGTACACAAGGCAAGTCTACCGAGAACACCTAATACGGAGTCAAAACAAAACAACCCCCGGAATTACAAATAGGCTGCAGATTCTCAATTCTTCTCCAGTATATAAGATTGGGATACCGACGGTCTAATGGAATGGCGGAGTGCATATTTCTTTACCAAACGACTTTCGACCTCGCTGTCGTATTGTACTGGGTGATATTTTGAATCCGGTGACACCCTTGCTACTGATGGCGTCCGTACTCAACACCCAGTCAGCATTGGCGCTGCGGTGTGAGCGAGAGAGAGCTGAATAGTTTCGGTACTTCATGATTCGATTCACCTTGGTATCTTGGAATCGTTTCAAGCTTTCATCACCAAGACGGAAGGCTTTGGCAGTGGTTTAGGAGGGGTTTTACTGCTCGAGAAACCAAGAACTCCTTGAAATATATTTGGGAAATTAAATAGGTCTTAGGACGTCGTCGGAATACACCGCCTGCCAAAGTTTGATAGCTTCTTAATTTCCGAGTGTCAAAATGTGTCAAAATGTCATGTCAGTTTGTGACTAAAAATAAGATGGGTAGAGGTCGATCCTCTTGGGTATTGTTTGATATGTTTTTGCGTTCATTTTCATTTTCTTCTCTCGCGTCTTGGTATCGTAAATTCTGGGCAAAAATCTGGGGTAGAGGGGTAGAGGACGATCTTTTAGGGGAATGTTTGACATATTTTTTGTGTTCTTGTTCATTCTCTTCTGGCGTCTTGGTATTCGCTGGGCAAAAAGCTGGGGCAGAGGGGCTCGGGGTAAAGCTTTCGGTCAAGAATCTCGGCGTGGGTGGTGGAGACTTTGAGAGTCTGGGGATATTCTAGTGGTGTCTTGGGACCCGAGAGAGCCAACTTCATAATTCCAGCAATGTTTCTTCTTTCTTGGCTCGTTATTCGAACTTCAATGAATTTCTCGAAACTGCATTGAAATTTGATCACAAGCATCAAAGTTGAACAATTGTATCATATCATAGCAATATTACCACACGTCTGGATATTGTAACGTCGTACTCGCGCCATTTAGGTTCTAGATACAAAAGTCAATTGTACGATGACATTTTGCACCCTCTACGTAACCGAAAAAAGCGGCGCAAATTGAGTACCCTTTCACAGATCTTTTTTAATAGATTATAAATTCATTTCAAATTAAATATTGAAATTTGAAAAGATTAAGCAAAAATTTGAGTCTTTTTTGTATTAGTAACAAGTGGTTTTTTTATTTAATGTTATATCGAGAAGAGATTTTAGTTGTTGAAATTCTTTTGAATGGTGGTCAATTTCCGCCGCTTTTTTCGGTTACGTAGAGGCACCATCGCATGCGTGTGTAGATATCATCCGATTTTCCCCTTCATTTCAAGCAACTTCAAGCGAATAGGGTTACCTTACAGATAAGATAAGACGAAACTAGGTAATTTTTCCATAGAGTCACGTGATTGTCAGAACATGATCTTGTGCTTGAATCAATTCTAAATCTACAATCGGCAAGTGTTGAAGATTCATAATCACTCTCCCTGATCTGTGTTTGCTTTATTGGGGTATTATTCTGGAGTTGTGGACTTTGTTTTGCCCAAATGAATCCCGGAAGTTTGAAGATTGGAGATCACCCACTTAGGCACAAATACTGCACCGGAATGCAGTCTGGGTCTAGCTTATCATTGTTTTTCTACATGATACGAAATCTACTTCTATTTGGGAAGGTACTCCTTCTCCTTCTATTGAACTCAAAGATTCTATTCGAGTAGCGTGTAAAGCTGCTTACTCCTTCCCGAAACTGATGAGTAGATGCCACCGGAATCGTCCACATCTAGAACGACATTTCGGGAAGTTACTTACAGTTGAATCAAATTTGAGTTTTTCGTACCTCAGAGACTATCAATTTGCGTTTGTACCACAGCTAACGTCATATTTCTTGATCGAATTATGTTTCTGCGCACAATTTTAAGTGGCCTAGAACCAAAGACATATCTACCGAGGCCTTTATCGATTGTTTCCAATCATTGACCCGGTACTGGAAAGCTCCATACCATCTGCGCAAATTTCGATGAAGGCCGTTTCTTTAATTTTTCGATCATATCGAGGGCGGGAAAACATTGCATCCACAGAACCGTATTCAGAGTTTGACTAAAGTCAACGTTAGGCTCATGAACATGAATACGAATCGATGAAGATGACATGGAAATTTGTCATACTTGACGGTCTCTGCAATGTATTGTTGATCTTGAAATTTTCAATCTCTGTGTGATTGAGGCACTCGGCCAGCAAAGACTGCAGATGGGTGGATGTTCTCTACAAAAACAATTCAGAGCTACAAACATAGGTTCAGAAGTCTGAGCTTTAAGACTGTTTCTTGTGAACCGCCATACAGGCCTTGTTATTAATGAACCTTATCTTAGTATTGAAAATCCGTTCCAGCTGCTCAATTCTAGATCAATTGACAAGTCTCATTGATTCGCTTAAGACAATAGGCAGATAACAAATCTTTCTTGCACCTTTTGTTCTTTGAATTTGTAACGCGAGCCTGCATCCTTATTTGTAGACTTTGATTCAATAACGTTTGAACCCGGCGGGTTTTCCAGTACACTCTAACTCTAACTTCTCCCATGATACATTCAGGAGCGCAACTTCATCCGCAAACGTTCAGAGGAATTGGAGAATCAGTTTATCAGAATTCTGGTCAAGGTTTTAGGTACTATATATTTCTATCAAAGCATCAAAGCATCAAATAATTCAAACACAGCACAAACGCTATGTAAGGGAGTAAGCAATAGAAACAATCAATCGAGTGAATTCAGACGCTGAGAATGTTCTATCTGACCCACAAACCGCAATATATTTTGCCTCTCGTTCGAAATTGGGGAGAATCAGAGATGCATGTGTTTGAAGTAGGTGTTGTAAATTAGGTCTACCAATCATATAAAACCATCTGACTCGATAGAGCTACTATCTCAAAGTTGGCTAGAGAATCATCGGCCCTGAGGCCTCAGAGCTACCTCGTTTGAACACTAACAAGTTCATAATGACTTTGGATGAGATGAGGTATATAATTATAAACGCTTGAAATAAGATTGACGAGAATAATATATTGTTGTCGCTGATGTAACAATTGGTACATCAGAAGTTGAGCGACTACTAGAATACAATAATGTAATTATATGTAATAATTATAAAACAATTCTACAGTAAGTTGCGCATGATAAATTATCATGTCTACCTCCGATCAAGGTTGTTCACTTCACAAGAAACTCTCGACCTATACTCTTCTGTTTCGTACCTGGCGTTGAGTCTTACTATGTCGTTGTCAGGACTAGTACTTAAAGCAATATACGTCCTTTTTCATATACAGCCCATTATAGTGAAGCAATTCATAATCTCTACTGTGTGTTTCATTATGTTCATCAAATATTATACCAATAGAATCATCAATGATACTATAAATCACTGAAAGGACATGAAAATGTCGAAATTCAAAAAATTATCCCTCAGACAGGCAATACCAAAGCAATTTTATTAAAGTTCCTTTAAACTCTCTAGATCACCGGATTTTCAATGGAATATAGTTGGAACTCTTAGTGAATCATAGTGGGAGTCTTGATCAGTATCCTGCTTGGTATTACCAGTCCTATATAATACAGCTTACACCTATTGCAATGGATACCACGCGTCAATGTGTGGCATATCAGCTTGCCGAATACTAACTTATACTACACTCATGACTGACCGAGTCGCCATTGCCGTTGTGCAGAAAACTTTGGGGACTATTCATGCGAGAAGTGCGAGTTTGGCACTGCTGTATATGGCGGTTGATACGCGATTTTTCTGGGTTTCCATTTTGCCGATCCTTCTTGATCTGAGTCTTCACTAGCATCCTCTGGAAGCAAATTTACAGGGACTTTATACAGCAAGTGTTTCTTCTCGGTAGCTTTGCTATGCGAATGTGCAGGGACCAAATACTGTTCTCGGTAACCTGCTCGCCAACTTCAAGAGCGCCAGATCCATGATTAAAGAATTCTTGCGTGCTGGCATTACTAACTCTAGACGAAACTATCGAACTCCGAGAATCTTGTGGTTTGTACTATGATCGGATTGGGTTTTATATTCCCTTTCTTTTCCTTTGTCACTCCTTTGTTTTGCTGGTCTAGATCCAGTGGATACTTGAGAACGAGCTGGGTGTGACATTATAGTTGAAGGGGAATATACGGTTGATTCTGATTCGGGGGACCTGGTATCGCTAATCTCAGACGGAGCCTTCACACTCCCAGAATTTCATGATCTAATACCATGATTGGATTGGATTTCATATTCTCCCCCTCTTCCACCATCACTCTTGCGACCCGCAACTTCAGATTTAGTGGGTACACGAGGACGAGATGTAAGTGGCGTCCGAATTGAATCGGAAGTTACGGTTGGTGGTGGTGCATGGTAAATGACATTACTAGCACTATCAGACGGATCCACGACACATCAATCCCGCTGCAATGCTAGATAAGTAATCAAATCCGCCTACTCTCTCGCTGTGGTTTATGTTCTTTTCTGCTCCCGTCTCTACGGTTTTCTTTGCTCCTTTCTCCTCCTTCTCTCTCTCTCTCTCTTTTCTCTCTCTCTCTCTCTCTTTTCTCTCTCTCTCTCTCTTTTCTCTCTCTCTCTCTCTCTCTCTCTCTCTCTCTCTCTCTCTCTCTCTCTCTCTTCCTTCTGACCACCTCTACCAGCCACAATGATTAGTTATTTGTGGTTCTATCGTTGTTTTTCCGCCCGTTTGAACTGGGTTGAGAGGTACGTCTTTTATTGTCTGTAGTTTGTGATGACGATTAGTATCTTTAAGGAATCTGTCATGCAGTATCTTGAATCTAAAATTCAAAGGCAGGTTCGTTTGAAACTGAGTGGAAATGGTGAAAAATATGTATTGATGAGAAGAAGTAGTACGGACAATCAAGTTCCATATGAATCTAGAAATTAATTTGATCGATCTACAAATTCAACTACTTCCCACCCTAAATTTCTCGTACAAATCGAGTTCTTGGGTGCAAGTCTATGTAAAATAAAGCTAATCACTATACAAACATTAATAGTACTTTAGAATTTGTGCGAGATCTGTCGAGTATATGAGTATACACAAAATGACAATATCTCAATCAACTGCATACTACAATTTAGTATACCTTTGTCCTGAAAACTAGCTCTCCATAGATGAATAGACTTTTCTCTGTAGTATCTTGCACTGCACACCACGGAAAGAAAATACGGAGGTGCCATACATAAACACAAATACAAACATATAGGCGCGCACACACACACACACATATACACGATATGAATTCTCATCAAGCCAATGAATCAAGAAAGGAGAAAGAAAAACTCAAACTCCAACAATTTATTTATCGTATATCCAATCTAACAAAAATCCCAAAACCCCACAACCAAAAAACAAGCAAATCGAAACAAAGTTCCAAAAACGCCAACAAGATATGCGGCTCCAAATCAAATCAAATCAAGTAAACCCAAGTGAAACGTCCAGCAAAAATCCCAAGTTATACGTAACTCCCTTCAATAATCCGAACTTCCAACTTTCACAACGCGCAAGAAGAGTTCATCATCTAGCTCCGTAACCCCAATCTTTCCCTCTCTCCATGCGTTTTTCTCGCGTTTTAGGGCTTATGCTCGACTTAGTTCTCTCTTTCTCTGCAAATCCTTGTTCGTGTGTTCCATCGCCTTGGGGAAGCGATTTGATTTTGTTAGGGTCTTTACAAAACTCGCTAAATCTTTCCATCCGGTCCTGATTTTTTGGTCTCTCGTTCTAGATTCTTCTTTATAATCTTCTGGGTGATACGATCACCTAAATCGTTGGGGTCTTCCGGAATGCCTTCATGTGTTTGGGCGTGATTTTTGTTTGCACTTGAAAAAGAAACTTTTTCCCCATCTCCCTTCTCATTGTGTCTACCGTCATCATGTCGATTTGAGACTGGCGTAATTTCGTCGTTGTCTTTTTCTCCATTGTTCGATGAGCCTTTTCTATCACCTCTCTTCCGACTTTTATCATCTCTTCCACTATCTCCTATTGACTCTGAATGTTTTTTACCATCTTTTCCTTGCTGTGAAGATGTCTCACCATTCCCTAACTCCAAAAGTGTTCTACTATTTCTTCCACCATCTCCTTCACCTCCCCTCCGACTTCCACAATCACTTCTTCTACTACCCATTCCACTTCCCATTCTACTTCTATTATCATCTCTTGCATCATTCTTCAATGTTGACGACCCGGCTCTCTTTCTTGTATATCCAACAACAACTTTAGAGCCAGTGTTGTAATTAGTATACGATAGTATTACTGTGGCTGATATAGAGAGTATAATACGCACGCTAATACATATAATAGCCAATCATATCCACGTCCGTACATATCATACAAACAGAGCTATACTGAAGATATACTAAAATATGGGAATTCATATATTTTGATTCGAATATTGCATATTTTGATTCAAATATTATATATTTTGATTGACTTTAAACCTAATAAAGAAAGAGATCATTCAAAATATATAATATTTGAATAGAAATATGCAAATTCCCGTATTTCGGTATATTGTTAGTAATATTCAATATTATTGAAATATGAAATACTTTCAGTGATATATAATTCAATAATAATTACTGAAATATTATTATAAATATCAATACATACCACTAAAGTGGAGCGTAACTGAAATACGGAAAATACTAATTACAACACTGTTTAGAGCCCTGTTCCGATCTTGAAGGGTTTTCACTTTTTTTTACCCATGCCGAACGTTCTTGACTAGTTCTTGTCGAGCCTGAAGGTCTCTCGCCACCTCCTACTGAACCTGCATACGAACTTGATTCTCGAGGTTCATCACCATCACTCATTGGTTCTGATCTTTCAGCCATTCCATCATTTCCATCATCTCTATCTTCACCTCCATGATGTGGTTGCTCTCGAGTGCTTCCCTTATCTTCCTTGCCCTTATGACTTGACTTCGTTTATCCTTCATCTCGATAATATAATCGCCTTTCATTTCCTCTATCATTTTCCCTATCTTTGTGATTTGATTTCATTAACCCTTCATCTCGATAATGTTATCACCATTCAGTTCCTCTATCATCTCCTCCTTTATGTTCATCATCATCTGTCCAGACACTTGTCCCTCTACCTTGTTCTTCATCCCACTCTTTTCTCCCGATGTCGCTGGTCGTGCATTAGACGGTGCCATTGGTGCCATTGTCAGTCGTGCTCCAGACGATACTTTTGATAGCTTTGAACGCGGTGGTGTATAGACGGTGCGAATGATGCCTCCGATGTGAATGATGCCACCGATTCTGGTGGTGTCTTGGGTATTGTTGTAGGATTAGCACGTACATAACCATATGTTATCGATTTATGCCCAGAACGCCCAGAACATTGGCTTCCTCCTTCCAAACGTACCTTTCTTGGTCAACCTGAAACATTCATTGCCGGGTCCTGTCATCAGACATTTTCGATATGAAATGTTATTGAAAGCTCGATAGCTGTCTCTCTATATTGCGCCTGTGAAAGCTGAACGCTGAATAATTTGTGTAACTATTGGGCTTTGTTTTCAATGTGAGAAGGTGATTGTAGAGTAGTATTGATGATTTGGACGACTACTATTTCGACAATTAAAGTAGTTTTATAGTGTAGGATTTTGGCCAACTCGTTCAGTCCACAAACCAGTTTGTAGGCTACCCAGTGTTCAATTGCTGATGCCTACAAATTATTCAAAATGGACATTTCGAAGATGTATAAAGAATAAGAAATGGGGCCTCTGGATACCAATTCATAGGTTGAGACCTCCCCGTCGTGTACTGTCGCTTAAGTCATCTATAGATATGCTAGACGGCACAATTTCATGGGTCACAAGATCAGTGAATTGAAATTTGTGGAGAACAAAGTGATGAAAAGATATCTATGAATGATTCGGCTGACCGTTCAACTAGCAATCAATACAAGAACGTGGAATAGGGAGACTAACATTCTACAAACAATAGGCATCTGTTGTATTTTAAAAGACAGGAAAAGAGTGTTAACAGCAATGAAAGTTCTAGGACACGCTTTTCTACTGTCCCTCAAAACAAAATGATTGACACAGGAATGTTTTAATAGTGACGATTGAGACTATCTACAGTCTACCAACTCGATTATTTTGTAAAAGCTTCACCAGTTTTAAGTAAAGATTAAAATAGAATTTCGATACAACTACATTGAAAAGAGTGCCAAATACTCAGAACATGTTTGGGAAGTAAGGGAACAGCCATCACATTTATACAGTATATGTTGAAGTTGTTCATGATCCTGTGGTGACAGGATATCAATGGAGCTAGTCCCAATCAATACTAGTAGAAATATCACTCCATAGATCCTTTCTTCTTTAGCCATTCTAGAACGGTGTATCGTAAATGTCTTCATGTTCTACACCTTATACTTCCAATCATTCCCTATGAAGGGTCATAATCTTCACAGTATATGTGATTGGCGCCGTTTGACAATCATCCAAAGTAACGAGAACAGACGGCGCACGTCCACGCATTACGCGGCATGTTAACCTTTCCAACTGATGTTTGAGAACTATCTCAGCCTCCTGAACAGAGATATATAAACAATGCATGCTTATGTTTGTGTGCAGAACGTATGAGATTCAAGATGAGGACCATGTGAATGAGACGTCAACGAGTAAAGTTCTTGATTAATAAGAAACAAGATAGCCACTCTAAAGCCATACATGATTGCTGGATAGAGTTGCATGCTATCTGAACCCCATATAGGAAGGTTGATATATCTGCGACGAGGGTGTGAACGCATGTAGATCATAGAAAGACTAGGGAATCAATGATTGAGCAACTAACAACTAGTGGTTGTAACCGTCGTTGGTTGGAGTTTCAGTAGATCCTAGAGAAGCACGAAATTACGTGGCCTTTCGTATTGATATGTAGCAAGTTGTCACCCGCATCCAAACTTTGAAGTTGGGTCGTTCGTATATGTACAGAGAGGATGTGATAAGCAATATACTCGAATCAAAGGAAGAGAGAATCATCAGCTCTCCGAACACTCGTATTGTTATCCCCAACTTTTCGAGGAGGGGTTTTCCTTCTAAGAAAAAATCAGAGAAGTTTCTTTGGTGGATTCGGTGGACTTGGTGGGCTTGGGGAGAGTCGAATAGAGGAGGATTGATTGGTTGACGTGTGGAACCATGATGGTGCACCATGCAAGTGGACTGGATGGAAAAGGTTATTACTAATAAGGTTAATGACGGAAGTTTTAAATATAGATCTTGTGGCCTTAGACTTGTCTCGAGATATATTAAGGCATCAAATCTGCTGACTATCTTTAGTTTTTCCGATATGTATCCAATCATATTGTATCATCTTCCCAAGCTTTTATACCAAATTAGGCGGTTCTTGGTAATGTCTTGGGTCCTGCAGTAAATTCAACCGTACCTACCTAGTAAGATTACGTAATCTTCGCCCATTCACCCATTCATCAATTCACCACTCAATTTTGCATTTTACATTCGCATTCACATTCGTTCATGCATACTACCTACTAATCCCTCCAGTATCTCATCGCTATCGCAATACGAAGAATCAATTAATAAATGCTTTTTTAATTAATTAACAAACAAAACAAATCAATAATCCCACCCATTTTCATGTACAAAGTCCCGACCTTACTTTGATCTCAATAGTTTCATTAATTGAAGATCATTCCATTCGTTTTCAGTCTTCTTCTCCGTACCTCACATACAGTACACCCCTTTCGCTCTTTCCGATTTGAATCTTTCGACCGAATGCATTCAAATTCTTAATCTCGACACTCGCGAAACTTCCGAAGAGATAAGGGATTGAGGGAACCTTGGAAAGCTTCATCAGCTGGAGGCGATTACTACTATAGTCCGATCTACCTCACATCTCACCTCATACATACATATACATTCGTAATCTTAATCCTCGCAAAATATCGAAGAGATAAGGGATTGATTTCTATCCTGACCACCCTTCCCATCATTCCACCCAACTTGCCTCGTCTCTCATCACCTCTCGTCACCTCGATACCTTTGACCAATTTCAATCGATTCCCATTCTCCTCATGGGTAAATGTAAATCAGCCCTTCAATAAATCCATCAGCTGTACTTACACCACAATCAACCTTTGCTAACCAACAATTGTCAATAAATAGGGCGATATGGTGTCATCCTGGACGCGGGTTCGTCAGGGACTCGAGTTCACATCTATAGATGGCTTAACAGTGCCAAAGCACTACAGAATCCCGACGCCCTCACCCTACAAAGTTTACCCAAGCTAGAAACCAACAAAAAATGGACGAAGAAGATTAAGCCAGGCGTATCGACGTTCGGCGAAAGGCCTCAAGATGTCGGCCCAGAACATTTACAACAGCTCCTCGACCACGCTCTCGATATCGTCCCGAAAGATCAAGTGTTCGATACACCAATATTCTTGATGGCAACAGCTGGTATGCGATTACTACCTCAAGTTCAACAAAATGTACTTCTATCCGAGATTTGCGCCTATGCTCAAAAGCATACAAAGTTCGACTTGCCAGATTGTGGCTTACATATCCAAGTTATCCCCGGTGAAACAGAAGGACTGTATGGATGGATCGCTGCAAATTATCTACTCGGAGGTTTCGATACACCAGAAGAACACGCCCATGGCAAGGGACACCATACATATGGATTCTTAGATATGGGTGGAGCGTCAGCGCAAATTGCATTTGCGCCCAATACTACCGAAGCCGAAAAACATGCAAATGACCTCAAGTTATTGCGAATGCGGACTATGAATGGACAACCCGCAGAGTATAAAGTTTTCACTACGACATGGTTAGGATTTGGTGTCAACCAAGCTAGACATCGCTACGTCGAAAGTTTAATGGATGCTTCTTACACCAAGGATACCAAAGAATTGCTCGATCCATGTCTTCCAGCCGGCCTCAAAACAACATTAGATGGAGATGTGGTTGACGACTTGAAACTGGCAGGAAAAGACCCAATTTTATTAGGTACCGGCCGGTTCGATCAATGCCTAGCAGCGACATATCCCTTATTGGATAAAGATGCCCCTTGTGCCGACCAACCTTGCTTGCTTCACGGGCAACATGTTCCTGCCATCGATTTTGATGTCAACCATTTCGTTGGAGTTTCTGAGTATTGGCATACAACCCATGAGGTTTTTGAAATGTCACACAAAGATAGAGCCTATGATTTCACGAAATATCAAGCTTTGGTAAAAGATTTCTGTAGCGAGGAATGGGACGACATTGAGAAAGAGGTTAAGAAGAAGAAATGGGGAAAGAAGGTAGATGCCAAGACAGCGCAAGAAGTTTGCTTCAAAGCTTCATGGCTAATGAATGTTCTTCACGATGGAATTGGAGTACCGAGAGTCGGATTGGAGAAGCCAGGACCAAGTTACAATGCGACAAAGGAAATGTTGCTTCACTCGAAAGGCAAAGGTTTCTTGGATCCATTTCAAGCAGTCGACAAGATTGATGGAGTAGAAGTCAGTTGGACATTGGGAAAGATGATATTGTATGCATCTGGTCAAGTTCCTCCAGCAAGTGAGGATGCCTTACCAGTTGGCTTTGGTAGCAATACTTTGGGTGTCCCCACAGACTTTCAATTGGCTGGTTCTAATGCAAATCCCATACCCCAAGACGACGACGATTGGTCTGATGCAGCCGATGATCTCATTGAAAAGGCACATTCTCGATCCACTCCCGGACTTCTCTTATTTCTCTTGATTATGGTACTCTTTGCTTATCTATTCCGAAAGAGAGATAGGAGACTTCGGTTATATAGGGGTGTCAATACAATTTTACGTCGGAACCGTCGACCAGGTAGCCCAAAGAAAGGTTCTCGTGGTTTCTTCGGCACAGGGAAGTTATTCGGATCTCGAGGCTCCACTAGTTACGAACGCGTTTTGGAAGATGGTGATGCCGCTGCTGAGTTCGAACTGGGGGACATTGATTCATCTGAAGAAAACGACAATTCGGATGGAAGTGAAGGATCTCGAGTAGGAAGATCTTCTGGATTAGCAACGCCGAAATTGAATGTGGTTAATTTTGAGGCGGCCAATTATTTCGATAATAATTCGCAGCATGGCCAAGGTATTGGCCTTGGTCTGGGAAGCGGCATTCCAAATGCGTGGAGTAGAAGTGGCCTGGTAGTCAGAACGGAAAGTAGAGAGAGATTGGCCCCTACTTTGCATTCTTTGGGTGCAGGAAGAAGAAGTAGAACGGGCAGTCCGACGAGAAAAAGCCCGCTAATGACACCGCTTGAAGAGTCATGACACGAGAATTCGAGAATGAATGAATCGACAGACCAGTGAAATGAGGAAACAAGTTCTAATTCGAAACTGGGAAGCTTCTCTCTTTATCCTTATTTTATCATGTGTTCTTCTTTTAGCATGGCGCTTTTACTTGGAATGGAACAGGAGTTGAAAACTGGCGTTGAAAATGATGGATGGTGCTGATTGAGTATAAATGACTGCAAGCTTGGCTTGACATATGACGCAGCTTGTGGATATTCGGTCTATTACAGAGAAGGACATTTGTACATATTTTTAGGATACGCATGGGGTTGCCATTGCAGTCTTGAGACGGTGATTGCGAATAGATGGATGGTATATCTGTACTGCACATAGAGTATGAGATGAGAGGCATCATCAAAGTATGCCGATGAATTAATTCAGTTGACATATATAATCATTTTCTCAAGCATGATTTGGGCGGCTAGTGATATCATCTTGATGGAGTAGATGATAATGCAATGAAATTGTTTCTACAGTGTTCATTTATTGTGGTATGTCATCTCATCTGAAGAAAGCCAATTGAAGAGGAGAAATCTGAAGTAGGAATTTGGTTTTGTATTCTTTGAAAAGAGATGAGATGGTGGAATTGAATCTATCCAATCTAACCCTGCCTGATCTATTGCAACCTATTCTGATCCCATCGAATAAACCCCGGCTAAACTAAGAGAATAAATTTCGAAGCAAGCAAACAAGCAAACAAGCAAGCAAGAAAGAAATCACCACTGCGGCGATAATAAATGAGTATTCGAACGAGGCGATTTGTTAGGAAGAGGAACATCAGAATCGGAAATCGCATTAGCGTTTGCGATATTATTGTGGTTATGGTTATGACTTTGACTGTGACTTTGACGGTGAGTGTGATTATAATCAAGATTACGATTATGATATAGAGGCAAAGATGAAGAAATCGATACAGATGACGGCGGAGACGAAACCCGTGCGATACGTTCGGTGCCCCATAGATGTCGGTAGGATTGGTATGTATCGGTCCAGTTGTGGGGATGGAGATGGGGAGATAGATGGGGAGGTGGGTTTGAGAGTGCGGAAGGGGATTTGGAGGGGGAGGGAGAGGGAAGGGGAGTTAATGGGGATGAGGGAGTGGAGTTTAAGGACTCGAAGGGTTCGTGGGAAGTGGGAGTTTGAGGGATGTAGATGGATTTGTAGGGGGTGCTGTAGGGAGTTGGGTATGCGTATGCGTGTGCGTGTGTGTATTGAGAAGTACTAGGTTCGTGCGTGGAATGGAGAAGAGGAGGATGTGTGTAGGTGTATTCTTCTGCACATACATTTTGTTGCGGATCTCTCGTCTCAGAATACGGATGAGAATGAAAATGAGAATGAGAATGCGAATGTGCATCTCTGTATCCCTCTGCGATTTTCGATACATGCGTATGTGAAGTTGCTTCTATGCTTGGATTTGGATTTCCATTTGGAGATTGAGATTGAGATTGAAACTGAAATTGAGAAGTGTGTCGTTTTCCCACACCTCGACGTTTGGCAAGCGGCATTTCGTCTTCGGAATCTGCGTCTTCGTCTTCGGTGCGCTCGTGAAGATTGGGTATGCTGCGCTCCGTGGAATAGGAGGAGAAGGAGGAGAAGGGGGAGTAGGGTTCGAGTTTTATTTGGGGGTTGAGTGGGGGAGAGGAGGATGTTTGGGAGGGGAGTTGGTCGAGGAGAGTTTGAGAGATGGGTTGTGATTCTGAAAGATCGCTCTGCGAGATGTTGGTTTGGGGAGCGGAAGTTGCGGGATGGTTGTGCATGTATGGGTGAGAGGGATATTCGGCGTGCGGGTGCGTGGAAAGTTGGATGAGTGGGGGAGGATCTGCGGGGAATGGAGAGGTTGTGTTGCTGAGTATCGAGTTTTTCCATCCTTGGAGATGGAAATCCGGTTCTGAGATCGCATCTGTGTCCGATTCCGTATTATCTTCAATTTCCCTCTTTCTCTTCCCTTCTTTTTTCTCCACTCCACCATATGTTTTCATTTCCATCCCCACCCCCATCCCCGTTCGCATTCCGCCCTCCACCCTATTCCACTCCTTAGCTTCCACTTTCTCTTTCTTTTCAACATCCTCTCTCTCCTTCTTCTCCTCCTTTTCTCTTTTCTCTCTCATCTTCTTCTCTCTCTTCTCCTTCCTTCTTTCCTTCTCTTCTCCATTCCTCTCCCTCTCATCCCCCCCACTCCCAAGATTAATATTCGCATTCGCCCCAATAACCCCCTTTTCAATCTGGCGTTTCAGTCTCGTGTAGCGCATACGTGCAGCGGGAGATTTGAGATTAGTCGTTTGGCCTACGGCTGCGAAATCAATCTATAGGGTGGGGAGAAAATTGTTAGAGTGAGGAAAGGAAGTCATGGGTGTTGATTAAGCTGGTTGGAAAGGGGGCGGGGAAGATAAAATGGGATAAAGCGTTGGAATATGTTATTTGGAAGATGTCGATATATAATCAAAATATTAACAAAACATCCTATCCATGGAATTTACTCACAGTTTTCATATCAGATTTCTGTAGACAAATATACAAAAACACAAGATTCTCATCGAGTTGAATTTTCGAGGGCATGTTTGTTGTTATTCGCGTCCTTTTCCTTTCCACTCTCAGGCTTGCCGAGTTTGGAAGTTGGCAAGTATTTGGATTGCTGATTCGCCTTTCTTGGTGATATTGAGGGGTGAAGAGTTTAGCGATTTTGGATATGTAGTTTTGGAGTGAGATGACGATGTTGTGTTGTATTGAAATGTTTAAGCATGGATTTTTGAGAAAGTAATCAATAATCTCTTAGGACTCTCCATCAAGTTGACTTAGGATATGGGAAGTTTGGTCTTCTATATACCACAAGATGATGAAAGCGAACTGTGAATACATGAATGAAACGACAGAGTTTGGGGATGTTTTTATTTTTGGGAGGGTGTTGGTATGCAGGTTGGCTTATTATAATGCCTGCTTTCGATGGGAGGTGAAAGCTTGGTGTTTGTTTGAGAGATATGTCAAAGATATTCTCCATATACAGTCTCTGAATTCCATGAAAATGGGAGAGGCTTTTGTGGTGCTCTTTGATTGTGAAAAATGGTGAAGGGGCTTCAAATGGAATTTTTGAAATGTTGTTCGTGCATACAATACAAAATCAATCATGAAAAAAGGTGTACCAAGAAGAATGTGCACCTATGTTTCAAAATGAACAATGACAATTCTGTAATCATTCAACGTAGATATCGAAGCCTAACTTTCGAAAGATCACGAGGAACTCCTCGCTTTCATGCAATAAGGTCCTGATTTCCTTTAACGCCTTATTCATCCTAAGCCAATGTTGGCTGATGATTACTCTCTTTTCTAACGCCCAAAAACTCCAATTTCAAATACACAAGCAAGCATTGCATATACAGTTTCATCTTCTGAATTTGATATCTGCAGTTTCCTTCAGAGCTCCGATGAGAACCCTGTGTGCACCCAAAGCAGCCTGTACCGCATTCTCTGTAAGTTTTTCATAAGATGGATCATCAGTATTAGACTCAGTTGAATGTCCAATGTCTCCTTTCACCCAAAGGTCTGTGATCTCATCTCGAGCTGGAAGATATGCCACAATACATGCAGCTAGAATCTCCTTGTGTTCAGATGGTACTGGATCCAGAACCAATTCAGTAGAGCCATCCTGCTCTGAAGTGGCCGGTGAACGTACTAACGCGGCAACTCCGCCAGAAACAACATCAACACAATCGATTCCAGCATCGGCAATAGCTGCAGAAGCAACGGTGATGCAACCACTGAGTACACTCATCATACCCCATCCACCAGCCGTCAACGAACCAAAAGATTTATCATCACCCCACCAATGATCCTCCTCGCCTTCAAGAATCGTGATGTTTATCTCTACTCCACTCTTAGGCCATCTATCACCAATGATTACACCTCTCAATGCCGTTTCCAAATGCACTCCAAGATCCCTTTCACTTGAATCTCTAACATATCCTCGTCTTCTTCTAGCTGCAAATGGCGCGTATTTGACATGCGTCTGTAGGATCATATGCGGTGAAAATGCGGCAGACTTAGGTAATGGTCGAGGGCCATGGACGGTACATGCAAGCTTGAGACCGGATGTAGAGAGGGAAGCAAGGCCTGGCGCTGATTGATTTGAGGGTTGAGATGGTTCAAGTTCGAGATATGCGGATCCTGAGGCTGATGGTGTTACACCGGTCTTTAAAACTGATTGGAGGTGAGTTTAGAATCATTGGTATTGAAATTGATATATATATATACATACAAATTTTCCTTAAAACATTGGGTTGCCTGTTCCTAGATGGTCGTTCTGGACGATTCTTTGAATCTTTGGTAAGATACTTTAAAAAGACTGGTGGATTTGTTCCCCCGGGAGGACCATTTATTCTCCTTCGATCAGACATGATTGATATGAAAATTGGTGAAATTGGCCAACCTAAATTATATCTATCGTATCGTCTTTTTAGTTTTTACTTCCATCGCAAACAGCTCTCTGCGGTAGGAACTATCAACATTTTCTGCCGGGGGTCCGGATAAATAGACGGACCGACATAATCCTTGCAGATGTTTTTTAGCGTGGTTGAAGCTTCTTAAATTTTCGCGAACCTCGACCAGATTTTCTCTTTAATACAATAAAAAATATTCTTCTGATTTGGTATCGAGATGGTTGCAAGTTATTTTCTTCAACATCTCAAACCTCATCAATTGCTTCTTAAGCAATGCAATGCAATATATCAGCATTGCCTGGTACAATGGTATTAATAGACAAGAAGTATAAAACTTCGCGCACTAATATCTTCAGTCGCAGCTGGACCTTCAGCATTCAATTAACTTGGTAAGTTTTTATATCCTTTTCTTCATTCACATCTTCCTGGCCCGGATTCAAACTACACACCTTTTAGTTCTCGGCGATCTCCTGAGCCACGAACAAACATGCATCACCATATGAGCCACGATCTTAATGCTCGTATTTCTATCAGAAACATTTACCTTTTGCAATTGCTAACACTTGTCTCAAGATTATAGATCATGATTGCTCCAAGCAGCACACATTCCGACAACACTACCCCGCTATCTATTGCACCTGGAGCAAGAGTCTTCTCATTTGTAAGTTCACTTATCTTCCAATTTCGCGCTCCATACCGTCTTTATATGATGAAAAAAAATTAATCAGTTCTGCTTCTGAACTTTCATGTTGATAACCAATATACCAAAACTTTTCTGATCCAAAAAGACATTACTTCATTTTGCTTTTAACCATCTACGCATTACAAAAGCTAATTGTCACTTCAGTCACAGATTCTTCTCACGTTCCACGCATCCAAGGCGCAACAACGATATTCACAGGTACGGTATACTCTACATCACCTTTAGCACCTCCTCGTTATGATGATAACAGCTTATCCATTCCATGAATGCTCATCAACCGAACCCTACTCCCGCACCGGACTGGGCCTTCAAGCTTGGGATGATAGGTTGTGGAGCTGGGGTTTCAGAGCTTCAGAGATTCGTCTTGCGTCTTGTAGTTCAGATCTCTGTCGCCGGTTGAAGTGCTTGATTTAAACGGCTTTCTGAACCATTTGGAAATTTAATTTCAGCATTAAACATCACTATTAGTTCTTTGCTAATTGATGGTTGCTATTAGGTTCATTTGAGTCTTTGACTTTAAATGCTTGACATGGAGTATGTTGGCTTGGATAACACTCGCAGGTAAGTTTGGAACGAGGTAGGTCCTTTAGTTATCAGCACTATGGAATGATGAGATGTCTTCAGGGGCAAGAAATGTGCTTTATCAGATAGTTGTAATATAAATCATTTGCCAATTTCCATATTCATCGTAGCATTCTTGACACCGTGACCTGATACAATCGAAGAAGACCATTTCGTAGCACTGTACTTATTTCCATGTAAATTTGATCTGCAAGTCCTTTCAGCACAGCATCGCCGAAGATGTGATATTACATTAGTCAGCATGACCTTTTTACCTCCAGCTCTGAGTGACTAGCAACATCGCCTGCAACTGATGAGCTACGGATCAAGGAAACTAAAACGATAACCTTATATCGTGATTCACAATGCCTGCACTTTGGCCCTTGATTCTAGTGATTTCAATTGGCATTACGCTCTTCATCGGCATGTGATCCTGGCCCTAACCATTCCTACTCCTCACACATCACTCAAGCACTAACGAAAGCTACAGCATGGATGATACTCACCTCATGTCTAGGTGAAGGAGCTCGTCGTCATATTTCAGGAATGTCATATAATCCCCGAGAAGCCATATATGACAGTAACTACATGGGAGCCATCACATCCAATGGACACGGTACTTGGAACCAATTCGAGATGCAAGATATGTTAGGAGATCATATTGAACATTCCGATTCCGAGTAAAGTTTCCTATCCGTCTCCAACGCCGGTGCTATGCTATATACAAATTTTGTCCATACAATTGATGGATGAGAAGAATTATGATGATCTAAAATTCAATATCGACTTTGGTGGCTTTTCCTCCCTTTCCATCGATGTCGATCCCGCCCTTTTGTTCCTCCCCTTCATCTTCGACGGGTGGTAAACTGTAGGGTTTGATTACCAGTCCCTTTCTTCTACTTAGCGAGAATGCTAAATCGTCGCCAGCGAATCCAGCACTTCCGCCGCCCTTCTCGTGGAATATAGGTAGGCGATGGATTTTGAGCATGCCTTGTGGAGGCTCTTCTTGAGCGGGATTGGAGGAGCTGGACGGTGTGGCTTTGGGGATGATAGCTATGGATGGGAAGGGAGCGATTTCGAGGACTCCGTCGCTGAGGAGCTCGATCCATTTTGTGAGGGCGGTGGTGCGAGGGTGCAGGGGGAGAGGGAGGGTCAGCATGAGAGTTAGTCGGGTGGGGTGTTGGCGGAGTAGGGCTCGGAGAGCGTGGAGGAAGGGGAGGATATGGTGGGGGAGAGATGCATGCGAGGGGTAGAGAGCTGGTGAGAGGAGGGAGGGAATTATGATGCGGTGGATAGTCGTAGGAGGGGTTCGGGAGAGTTGAGTCGAGAGATGTTGGACGAATGGTGTGAAGGGTGATTTTGTATCGTTTGTTGTATCTGCGAATTCGAAGTCGGGTCTGAGAATCGTGGGTATGAAATGCATCTGGGTAGACGAAGGTGGAATCAATCGTTTACTAAGATCGAAGTCGTGACAGAATATTGAAGGCGGACCTGAGGAGCCAGTACTTGATTGCACAGTGTTTCTCTCTACACAGAAATAAGAGCATTAGCTTTTGTAATTCGATATTATATTCTTCTACGAATCGGTCAAACGTATATACAAAGGGCCACCCACCTCTAGCACCACTCGTCCCAAATTCCCCCAATCTCTCATATCTCCACGCAATCTTCATCTTATCATCTGCCGCCTTACTATCCGCATCTTTCTTCGAAGACGATCCCTCCGCAACCCCCATTCCGGGCAATTCTCTTCCCCATCCTTGATGCATTCCCAAAACGTGAACATGATGTCCTTGCAACACTCCCTCCGCAGCATAATATTTCAACAACGTGCCCCCAAAATCTGTAGTTCCACTCTCCTCAAGTAGCAACGAAGTGCCGAGGGCAAGTCCCGCATGACCAGCTAGTATAGAATCGAGCGAACGGATTCCCGTCGATGTCGTTGGACGACCATCGAGTGGTGAGGGACGAATACCAGGAACGGGTGCCACTTTTTCCGGAATAGGAGTCTGCGAAGTTTGGATTCCCGGTTGCGCGATTGCCACGTTGCGTTTTCGAAAAGCCATTTTGGAGAAAATTGGTGGTGTCAATTATGACGAGAATTAATTTTGATGGTCGCGGGGTAGGTGTTTTATGGGATTCGCATCCCACCCAAAGCGAGCCACTTGCTATTAATTTTTTTTGCGCCGGAACATTCGTTTGGCCGATCTCCGTCTGGATTTTCGATGTTTTTGGAAGAGTGCAATATTTTGCGAAAGACAAAGCTTCTTTTGCTGAGTATTTACTTACAGCATCGCCATTTATACCACACTCCCGAATTATTGAAGTCGAAGTCCAGCAGAATAATATTTCGATACGATACCTCGATCAATTTACACGGAGATCAATACAAACCCCCAAAGATCCTCCAGTTCGAATACTACCATCGCATTTTCCACAATCTCCAATTTCTAATCCACAATGTCTGGTCCTCAAGACGCGCAACTTTTCGACGAGCACTTCACCGTTAACGAATTAGATCATAAGAAATATGTACGAGTAGGACGTATCAAGGCGACCTCCACGGTCGATCACTCCGTCTCCATGCTTTTGGATATCAATACCGAGCTATTCCCATTAGCCGTCGGCGACAACATTCGCGTTGTGCTTGCGACATCTCTTAACTTGGATGGCACAAAGGATGATGGAAAGGGATGGAGGGATGCTAATCGCATGGGATTGGGGGGTGAGGCTACGCTTGCGGATATGTTTGATTATGTTTGTCACGGGAAGATTTATAAGTTTGAGGATCAGGAGAACAGTGATCTTATGTAGGTTTCTTCTTCTTCTTGAGATTGAGGATTGGGTAGATTGTTTGCTTGCTATTTGGCTATGGTATCTATCTTTGTTGTGAAATGGTTGACTGACTTCTGATATAGTAAGGCATACATCTCCTTCGGTGGATTGTTAATGGGATTGGAGGGTCCTTATAAGAAGCTTACACCTCTAAGAGTCGACTATGTCTACCTCCTCATCAAGAAATAGATAGCCTTGAAAAACTGCCCGGGAAACCGAAAACGAATAGAGGAAAGGACTCGCTATCTATGTTGTGGTGAACTCTCTGAGGAATCTGGCAGACGAAAATCGATACTTAGAAAACCCGATTTATCGTATGCGTATGTGGTTTTGCATTTGCGTGGGGCGTTGTGGATGGGAAATTGAAAAAGTCTTGAGGGCGTTCAAGCACCAGATACCTTTTAAAATCTGGAATACTAAAATATTCAAATATTGTGTGGTCCTAGAAATGGCAATTTTCTATGAATCCTGCTCTTGATCTCATCGAAATCGCTCTCATTTTCCCTTGTCAATATGCCATATCTGATGAAGAAATCCAATAGAACAATTCCGCAATTGGATTTGAACTCTCCCAACTTCATGTGCTCCTGAACTTCCTCTACTGTCCAAAGGTAGAATTGTTCTACCTCGCTATCATTCGGTTTAGGAATGACATCAGCAGGCAACTCCAAATCATAAATGTATTCGCATTCGGGCTGCATCAAACCCGTTTCTCCTCCAGCAGTGGCTCCCCGTACATGGAAATACGTAAGAGCGCCGTGAGCCTTTGCATTTTTCCTCACAACATCTTCTGGAAAACTGGCTTCTTCCATACACTCTCTCACCAAAGCCTCAAACTTATCTTCTCCCGTAGACATTCCTCCTGCAACTGTGTTGTCCAACATAGATGGATATGTCTGTTTTGTGGCCGAACGTCTCGGGACCCACAATTTCATTCCATACTTCACTTCGGGACAGCGTACATATGCCATCATGTGAATTCCATAACCGAGAATGCCAAACAAAACAGAAGCGCTGCGTTCAATGGACCAGAGTACTTCATTTCCGGGACCATAGACGGGATATAGCTCATCACGCCAGCCGGATAGAACTTCGAAGGTTTTGTTGGTGCGCCAGTACTCGCATGTTGCTGCAACGGCGGCACTGCGTTCGGGCTCGGTGGCTTGCGTGAAGAGGGATATGGTGCGTTGAGATTGGTTGACGCTCATTTCTCCTTTGATGCTGGTGGGAACTTTGAGGAGAGCACGGTAGACGGGGAGGGTGATATAGCCCAAGGGGTAAGTGGTGGATGTGGTGGGGTCCTCATGGATGAGAGTGTAGAGGGTGGAGGTTAGAGTTGAGTGAGCGGTAGCATCTTTCTCTGGGTAGGGAAATCTGGGGATACATTAGTTGAGGGTGCAGCTAGAGAGAACAACGACAGATAGGTAGTGCAAGAGAGCCTTGAGGGTCAGGACAAGATTGGTGTGGTTATGCAGTCGAGTGGAGTAGTTTCCCATGTTCAACTTGAAGCTTGGAATTTTGCTCAATTCAAAACCGCTCTTGGGAACATTGGCTTCTATTCATCCTTGTAGCCCAATGTATCCTCAGGCGGATTAAAACTTCATTGACCAACCACTTGGTAGTGTAATAAAATTTTGTATTCCCCAAGAAGCAGTCCAACCCCCCACACCTCCCTCAAAAGCCACCACCCACTCAGCCATTTCCATGCAGTGATACATACCATCTAGCAATAGCCAAGTTAATAAGAGAACTTAAACTAAAAATACTCACGTATCGCACTCATTGACAAGATCTAAATAAGTTTTCATGATGTCTCTCTCTTGCTCTAGATATTTTCTCTCTAGAAATGCGTGATTCGTATGCGTTGAATAAAGTGTATCCAAAAAAGAAACTTCTATTAAATGTCAAATATATTTCTACAACCAATGTCCAAAGGTTAGATTTCTGAGTCTTGCAAGGAAGAGTATTTCAAAAACCCTTTATACAAATATCAATACAGTATTA